AAGGAGTCCCGCACCACCCGCTTCTGCCTCATCTGCAACTACATCAGCAGGTTAGCTGACTTCTCACAGTCATCAGACACACAGACACACTCCGCACGTGACTGATCCCGACCCGCTGTGTGTTCTCTAGGATTATTGAGCCTCTGACCTCCAGATGTTCCAAGTTTCGCTTCAAACCTCTAGCCAATCAGATCCAAGAAAAGCGCCTGCTGGAGATCTGTGAGAAGGAGAACCTCAAGTACACCAAGGAGGTAAACGAGAGAGAATGTGATGGTGTTGCTATTAGCTGTATTTCGGTTCATTTGGTCCAAACCGAGGAAAAAAGATTCATTGTTGCCTTTTAGTTCTGGCCCTACGATACTTGATCTTAAAGGCTGAGAGTTTGTTCTAAGAGTGTTTATACAAACTGTTGACGTGCTGATCAACTGTTGTGTTGATGTAAAAGGAGTAGAGCAATTTAAAAATAATCAAATAGTAGAAAAATGAGGAGCAGGAACCTGAGCAAAACAAAAAAATGGACAAAAACTATACAAAACATGTGGTGGTTTCAGGGCTTGCGAATATATGGGCAAATGTCGGTTGTTGGGCTGAGAGTTTGAACATTTTAACATATCACTCAACCGTACCCAGCACCCTTAAGAGAGCACATTAGGAAACTATAGTAAGGTTTCAGTTTTAAAATGGGAAGAAAGGGGGTTTCAGTTGGTTGCAATCTGCAATCTCACCACTAGATGCCACAAAATCCTACACACTGGACCTTTCACCATGCTGCTGCTTTCTTTGCACAGCTGCTGAAGTCAAGGTGTGATGACTGTTTCTGTTCGTCCAGAGTATCGCAGCATTGGTGAAGGTGTCTGAGGGAGACCTGCGGAAAGCCATCACCTTCCTGCAGAGTGCTGCGCGCCTCAGTGTCGACAAGGAGATCACAGAGCGTGCCATCATCGAAATAGCCGGGGTGAGACGCACTTCTGTGTCATATAGGAGCCTGCAGGAACTGACGATGGACCATTTATTAATTTCACTGTTTGAAACTTCATGCACAACTTGAAACTCTGCCTCATTCCAGTCATGTCTCTCATCTCTTTCATAGGTCGTTCCTCCCAAGATGATTGACAGCTTGCTCCAGATCTGCTTCAAAGGCACATTTGAGAAACTAGAGGTTGCGGTCAGGGTAGGTGTCAGCTTCTTTGTCCCTTTGTTTTTGACAGGCATTTGTTTTCTTGTTAGCTGCTCTAAATGAGATAGTTCTGGCTGAAAGTTTCAGGCTTGAAATATTTCATCATTAAAAATAAAGAAATGTGAATGTGTATTGCGTTGGCTTTCCCTCACTCCCTGTAACATCACATTCTCACCTGCTGAATTTCTCCTCTGTCAGAACATGGTGGATGAAGGCTACGCAGCCACACAGATCCTGAGTCAGCTCCATGAGTCGATCATAGAGGAGCAAGACCTGAACGACAAGCAGAAGTCAGCCATCACAGAGAAGATGGCGGTGAGTGGTTGTCTTTATTGTTACTGTTGGGACTACAGGGATTATTACATTCTTAATAAATATAATATCAAGCTTCAGGAGGAGATCCAGATAAAGACAGAGGGGTAATCAGTTGTATTCAGGTGGCGATGTGTGAAGAAAATCTCACTGCATAACAGAATCCGTCACGTGGAAGTTAATGTGCTTGTGTCTCCTCTCTGGTTCAGGTCGTTGGCAAGTGCCTGTCAGACGGTGCAGACGAGTACCTGCAGATGTTGAGTCTGTGTTCAGTCATCATGCAGCAGGCCTCCCAGAACAACTGACACTCCACAAAGCACTGTCTCCTCCCCAGGGAGAGCACGGTCACCTGCCTCCAGGGGGGACCATCACACTTCGCTCAGAGTCCGATCTGGAGCTTGTTCACACAGTAACAGTCCGGGACCAGATGATAGTGCTGCTGTTTACTGACAGAGAGCAGAGCTGTCTAATCAGAAACAGTCTCCCTCCACTCTAGGATGAACACACAGTAAATAATACACAACCATGTCAACATGCTTTCAAAATCTGTTACCAGTAAATCCCCCATCAGATGTCTATTCCTTACCTGTCATATAAACTACTTCTCAGCAGATCTTTGTACACTTCTTGGAAATTAATAAATAGTTTTTGTATCTTTTTAGTGTTTGTTTCAAAGTCATTGCTAATGGTTAGGACATCTACAATAAGTTCACAAATGCAATGTCCAATCCATGAACACATAATACTCACTGCTTACTTGCATGTTAAATGGCAGGGAAAGGTTAAACTAAAGCAGATAAATAACTTGGCAGCTGCCCCCACCTGGCTTGTTGGGAGAATTAACATTTTAGTAACACTATGAAACAGCTGTTTTGAAGACATGATTGGAAATCCCAATCAGGAAAAAAGACCCAAAGAGGTTTTATCCCAGCTCCCCATATTGTCAGTCCTGGCAGTCCTCACTTAGAATAAACATAACCACCACTGTGTACCCACGAGTGTTTAACAACGTCCAAAAGCAAAATGAGACAACAGTTAATGGACTGAGTCAAGATATATGGACATACTACAGTCAGTCTTTTATGCTGTCACATTGTGGCTTTTTCTCATACCATCAATCAATGAATCAAATTATGTATTCATGTAGCACCTTTCATATAGTCATAGTGCAGTACAAAGTGCTTCACAGGTGACTGACAAGACGATAAGACAATGGAATAAAAACTAAGGTAGATTTAAAAATAAAATAGAAAGCTAAAAATTTCAATAAAACAATAAATTTAACAGGTATAACATTAGTGTTTAATGAAAGCTATACAGAAAACTAGATAAAATAGATTATGGGGGGAAGCAAAAATAAAATCAATAAGAAGAGTAAAAAATATTAAGATTAAGGACATATATTCAAAATAAATGAATGAAATTTACAAGAAATTCTGAGAAAATAACTGAATGATAAGGTAAATAATGTTTGAGGTAAGTTTGGAGTTTACATCTTACCATGTCAACACTTGGAGCTGCCTTTTGGGTTAAGTGCATAAAAAAAAGTTCCACACATACGATTGCCTTTGGATACAAAGACACACGTGGGTCACTTTATGTGACTCATGAGTCACTGGTAGGGCAGAAAACAGCGCCCTCTACTGAGGGATCAGTGGAGAGGAGACAGTCAAGGTACCAGAAAGTAAAACTTCCGGCAGACTGTCAGCCTAAATAAGACCTAACCTCTAGTTCAACTCCCTTTTTCAGTGTGTTTACGTCAGCTAAAATCAACTACCTGTTTGGTCACACACACTGATACTGTCTGGTGTGTGTGGAAGCTGCTGCTGGATGTGATATCAGATCCACTGTGTTTTGGACCATTCAGTGGAGCATGGACTACTGTAGATAATGTTCAAGGTATCAGTGGAGAAAAGGGCAGTGTTTGCTAAAAAGACAGACAAATTAGTCCTCCAGCAGCTGGTCATAACGTTTTATTACAGGTTATAGACAAAAAATGTCAAAAAAGTGGCCAAAATAACGTACAAAACCCTGACAAGAACATTTAGTATTACTTCAAAGATTTCCTTTATAAATACCAGAAAAACTATCAGTATTACTATGGTAATTCTATGTTTCACGTTCCCTCTTTGTGAACCTCTGTGTCTGTTATAGGCCAGATGTAGACCCCACAACCAAGGGGTTCTCCTGCTAGTAGGGGGGTTTCTGTTTCATGTTTCCTACTAATTGTTTTGTGTGTGTTTAGCCTGAGTAAAAGCTAAGTTCAGTTCAGTCATTGTATTCTCCCAGATGGGAAACATCAACACGAGTACAGACAAAAACAAAAGTACCAAAACCTTACCAAACACAGAAATGTATAATTTATTCATACACTATACAGTAAACATACATACAACAACAACAATGCTGAAATAAAGCTAAACTATATGTGCATATAAGACGCTAGAAATTGGCAGTGCAAATGAAGCAGGGATATTGCACAGGGAACAAAGGCGGTTTTACTTGTATTGCACTCTAAATCTACAGACTGAGGGAAGAGTTTCTGAGATGGTGGGTGGGAGGATTTCCCTCTGTTATCACTGACCATATCCTTGCTCTTTGTGGTGTTTAATTTGAGAAACAAAGTCATCTTCCACCGGCCCATGCTCAGATTCATCATTATGGAGCAAGCTAATAAAAACTGTCATCAGTGAGTTTCAGGATGTGCCCGTCCCCATGCTGGCTTCTACAGTCACAGGTGTAAAGAATGTATAGCATGACCTTTGGTTGTCAATAACACTCTCCATCCAGAATCACAATCTCTGGGGGGGGTCCTGGTAGCTCACCTGGTAGAGCGGGTTCAACTCCAACCTGTGGCTCTTTGCTGCCTCTGCCCCTGTCTCTCTCTCTTTCTCCCCCCTTCCTGTCACTACTGATTAAAGGTAAAATAAAAACTAAAAAGAACAACCACAATTTCAGCCCACTACATATTTAAATGTTTATTGCTGCATCAACAGAGATATGTTGTTTCTGCGTTTAATTCTACTGTGAACAGCTTTTTTAAAAATGGATTATGGTTCTTTATTGCTGACTTTAATGAGCCAGAATGTAACAGAGGGTATCCTGACTAACCAGTAGCAATGTATGCCTGCTGTATTTATAATATCAGAATCACTTTATTGGCCAGGTATGTGCACACATAGAAGGAATCTGACTCCATTTTTACTTTGCTCTCAATGTACATACACAGAATAAACATAAATAAACAGGAAAGCAAGCTCAACAAAAAAGACACATGCTACTATGTACAGTTATACATGTATAAACAAACAAAAACAATAACATTTGTATACTGTAGGGACATTATATATATATATATATATATATGTTATATATGTTTGAGGAGCACATTTGCAGGCACAAAATTAAATTTAAAAAGGCTCTTACGGGAAGACACGCCGCTGCACCGCGCACACGGGTTTCCATGGTGACGCGGGGGAGGGGGGATGTTACACCCACCGGAAACGGTCTCTGCAGTGCCAGCAGAAAAGGGAAAAGGAGGCAGACCTCATATCGCTTCTATTGGAGTTTATCTCTCGCACACCGCCCCGCACTTATGCGTGTTGAATGCCACGGTCGCGCGGAGACGGTGCGGAGACTCCCGGTGGCATGACTGCTGGACTCCCGTGCGCGAGGTTCGACGAAGTAGTGCACCGACTGTTTTGGAAACATCGCACCGGCCCAGAGTAGACCGTGTGTGGGAGAGAGGCAGAGAGCGGTCCTGCCCCCTTCAATGACCGACCACCAGCGCTAGCGATAAAAGCCTCGCTGGCAACCATGGACGGCTACCATGAGTCTCCTTAAATAGTATTGCTGCTGAGCTCTTGGCCCGGAGTGTTTCACTATGCCCGACCGGTGGTGCTCCATGCGGCTCTCCGTTGCCTGATAACGCCGTTACGGGCCTGCTTTTTCCATCTGGAAATTTCTTGGCAGGGGAAAGCAGGCCAGCTAGCACCGCTAGCGCTAGCCCCCCTTTTCCGCGCTGCATCCCGGGCTCTAACGGTGCAGGTTTTCTCCCATGACCACGCCATTGACACTTTCGTCCGTCAATTCGAGGACTTTTTAAACTCCAAAAAAAGTATTTTATGGGATTCATATCGGCGAAAGAGAAGCGGGCCTAAGCCAAAATGGTGAACTGGAGGCGGCTGCTGCGAATGTCCAACCGATCATTTCTGGCCTTCATATTCTTCTTCTCCATGTCCACCACTTGTCTCTACTTCATTTACGTGGCTCCTGGAATAGGTTAGTTAACAGCGGCTTACACTAAACCCCTCACAAGGTAGCAGTTAATGTGATTATATGTGGATTATCTTGTGCAGCCCTAACGAGCTTCAGCCGCTGTCTGTCACTGCTCATGCTAACGCTGAAACCGTTAACTAGCTAACTAACGGGGCTAACGGACTAGCCCGTTAGCTCAAAGGTCCGCCCCGGGCGTAAAGTCCAGCAGCCCTCCCGCTCTTCTGCGATGTTTAAAGGGGAACATGTGTGTCGCAGTGGGCCAGACGAGTGAGATATTAGCTTAATGTTGATTTATGGTTGATACGCGCTTAAGCTGGCGCAAGGCTGACTTGTGAGTGAGTGAGTGAATGAATGAATGAATGAACTGTGGGAATCACTGCTGATGTTCGTTTGAGCAGCACAGGCAGGGTGAGCCAGTCCGAGCCTGGGATTCTACATTCACCTGTGCTGCTGGGCCGAAATGCACCAGTATCCATCCAATGTGTCAGCTTTCTGTGGATCCAGTTAAAATGGGTAGCTGTGTGCCCTGAGTTTTGTCTTGTTGGTGAAAAAGTCTCTGAAACAATATTATGGCAGGTATGGAACTGAACTAGGGTCAAACTGTCAGTGTATTGTAATTTCTACAGTATGCAACAAAGTCAACCCTGTAATCAGATCTTTTTTTTTTTTTTAGGGCTGTACAATTAAACTGATATTGAAATCTCAATATGCAAATCAGAGAAGGTGTAATGTTTTGATAAAAGTGTGTCCTCTGGACAGGAAAACATGTTTGTTTGGTATGGACCTTCAAAAAAATGCTACATAATTATTTTAAGTTTTTTTAGTGAAAATTAAATTTGTGACACAAATGATCATCCCTTCACTAACCGTGAAGTGCATCATCAGTCAAAATAATTGCAATGTGATGTTTTTACCATCTTGTGCAGCCCTAATCCCATTCCTCTTGTACATTACCTAAAAATTCTATTCAATATTGAGGAAGAACATGTGGAACAATACTTGATGGGTGCTGCTGGGAAGGCTTCAGATTGTTTACTGCTGTAGAGATGCACAGTATGGATTTTTTTCATCAGCCGATACAATAACAGGGTACCCACCCATCCTGAAAACCCTGGGAATTTAGAGACCAGTTTTCCAGCCATGGAAACATCTGTTAAATCACCAGATATCCTGGAAATAATCTCTGTTGTCCTGGAAAAGTTTCGCTCAGATAAGCGTATTTTGTTTGAAACTCGACTGTTGGTTGGATAAACTGTATGACCCTTCCAAGTGTCCTTACCAGATGCAGTGGAACAGACTTTCAGTAATCTCTTCCAGAGCTGCACAGTGATATTAATTGTATGTGCAATGAACACTTTAACTTTCATGAAGATGAATATTCTGTAAAGTAAAATATATTCTATGTGATATGAACTGGTACCGTTACAAATTAATGTAGTCTATTTGCCAAGTTCTGTCTTGTATTGTCAAGAAAAAGCCTGGAAAATGACCTGTTAGAGTTAACGAATAATTCCCACTTCTCATGGCCAATAAGATACTGGATCAGTTCACATTTTTATATTTTAAAAAGAAGTTTGTAAATGATTTAATATTCCACAGCTCTGACTGAACCAGATCTAATTAATAGTTCTGACTAAGTATAAAAAAATGACTGATTCTTTGGGGTTTATAGAACATAAAGCCTTTCAAATGTTTTGCCCAAAGAGTGAAAAAACATTATTATGGACCAATAATCCATCAGAATAATACTTGATTGGGTTTGTCCTGGGTAGTTTCTGTGACGTTCACATGCAGGAGGGAAGTGGTTTTGTGCTGACAGGAGTGATGTGCTCATAGTGCAGCCTTTTACTGGCAATCAGTGTTGGTCATGCTTGGGAGGAGATGCAGTTCTGGGAAAATTCACTCAAGATGTACGATAGCGCGTGGTCTGGCAGCTCGATTGTAAATGATATAATAGTGAAATTAAAAGATTTCAGTTGTCTGGGGAGCCCCTTCAGGGACCCCAGGTGTCATAGAGGACTAAAGAACCCAGAAAATCTTCACATTTAAGAAGCTGAAATCAGAACTTGTGCATTTTAAAAAGACTCGAAACAATTCACCAGTTGATCAAAATAGTTGGCGATTTTGAATAACAATAAACATTCTACTGAAATAATGATCTCAGATAACGGTTTTACACATCTACACTCACAGTAGGGTTTTAATGGACTGATTTTAGCTATGGTTTCTGCCATGCCATATTTCTTAAGTTAGAAAAAGCCAATGTCTACCAGTCAGGCATACACAATGTGTTTGGACTTGTGTCCACAAAATGTGTTGCAGAAGCTGTTCCAGGAGCTCGTACTGCGCTGAGACCCTTTTGAGACGGTTGGTCTTTGGCACCCATCTGTACACTGCACGTGGTTTGAAATTGCAGGCAGTCTGTGGCTGGTTATGGTTAAGGTATGTGCAGATCAGACAGTTGAGAGGAGGGCGTTTTTCAAATTCTTTTCCCTGCGCTGTGTGTGAAACAGCAGGTAGTGTGAGTGTGTCTGTGGACACAGGTCTCTTCTCTTAATGTTTACACACCTAGAACAATGTTCAGGGTGCCTGACTCTCCTGATCTAGCAGTCAGTATTACACATCATTTGTTTAAGAACCTTTAGTTTCAGTCTGGTTCATTTAAAGCTGCAGTTGGTATAAGAAAAGCTTTGTGATGTTTACTGAGACTTTCACTGTATCCTGACAGTAGTGCATGAGACTGATCATCTCTGAATAAATCTGCCACTGCCTGAATGAAAACAACCAATCAGAGGCAAGAAAGATGGGTGATTGGTTGTTTTCATCCAGGCCCGGTGGAGTCAGCTGTGTTGCAGCCAGCTGTATGTCTGCATTCATCCTGGGCTGTCTGTACAGCATGCTGCCGCACTGACTGACAGGCTTGTGTGGATTCTCATCCCATCTGGGAGTGCTCTGTTTCATGTTCCGTTCAACATCCAGTTGAGATTTTTAATTTGAGGATTGGGGACCGTCATTTCTTGCTCTGCTTGTTCTGCCTTGCCTGTGACAAATTAGAATTTTCAAGCACGTGTGCAGTTGGCAAGTGTAGTTCATATTGTGTTGCAGCAGATATGGAGGGATTTTAAAAAGCATGTACACTTTTTTTTTCTCCGATCCTGAACTGAGGATGATTATTCTCTGGGTTTCAGGGACTCTAGCAAACATTTGTACTGTCATTTCACCAGCTAGCTGCCTGCAGTCCTGTCACCACACCGAAGGCTGCCTGGCTGCTCTGTGATAACACTCTTATCATCCACACTGTCCTGTTTACTCATTCTAACACACACATTGAAACTGGTGTATTGGTCATCAGGAAGAGTGACACTACGGTTGTGTAATATGACAATATATACCGTGGAACAATATGCATTTACAGGGTTCCCACCTGTCCTGGAAAAACTGGAAAACCTGGACTAGTTTTACGGTCATAGAAACACCTGGAAATGGATCAAAATGCCAGAATATCCTGGAAATAATCGCCATTGTCCTGAAAAATTTGAATTGCATTTCAGCCCCTCACTCAGAGGAGAGTCTGAAGAGGACAAGGTTCTGACCGGGGCTTGCTCAACTGTTATAGGAGCACAGGGCAAAAACACACTCTTCAGTTTTTGGCACATACGATAGATTTGGAGATTAAGATAACTCCTTCACTTCAGAAGTGGAATGTCTTCATCTGAATGAGTTTAGAGTTTCAGTATGTGACCAAAATAAAATGAATCACATAATGTAAAATTAATATTCAGTTTACTACTTTACTGAGAGCGTTTTATTGGCAAGTTGTCTTCCTCTGTTATAAACGCCTGGCAGTGTAACATCACCTATAATGGAATGATTTTTGTTGGCTGCATTCCATTTTAATAATGCACTGCTTTTATTTGGCATCTAACTTCATGTCAGACCATTACGTCTTTATTTCTGCCTCCGTACAGCTCTCTGAGGAGATGGCGCAGCTCTATTGATATTTTCTAATTGTTTCAGGCTCTCTAATATGACCCTGCTGTGCATATTCTATTCCTGTCTGCTGATTTCTAACAGCCAGACTTGGTTCTGTGGGCTGATTTTCTCTTTCTTGAGTAACATTTTTTTTTGAGTGAAACTTGTGCACCAAAAGGAGTGGAGTAGCCAGCCTTCTATAGAAGTCGGTGTGTTATCTCAGGAACGTGCAGCTACTCAGGAGGAGTTTAAGAGAGGTTGGCATGGCAGACTAACACTGGTAGGAACACACCTCACAGATAGAAGTCTGGGAGACTTAGGAGAAGAATACAGAATGCTCTTTTAGGCAGCCCAGTGAATTAGAGCATGAACATAAGGTTCTGTTTGGGTTAACCATGTACAAATAAACAGACTGCCATCCCTAGAAGTGAGTCGGCCTTCTAGGATCCAGCCAGATGTCAGCCTCTGTCAGAAACTGTGTGTCTTCTGAAGCATCACTGATGAGTTCATTTTTGTTTGTGCATTTTCACACATTTATATTCATAATTACACAGTGTGTGATTTAGTTTACCTTAATGGGAAGAGAAGCTAGTTTTTGACTTCAAGATAGATTTTGTTTGGGTTGTATACTTTATGCATAAACAAGTTAAGGTGGAAGTTGTGTGTCTTTCAGTTGCCTTGAAGACATAAATCCATGCTAAATAGTCATTTCACAACCATCACGTCCTGTGTTTTGTAACCTTTTTTAGCATTTAGAACTTTTAGTTGAAAGTCACAAGAGCAAGCTTACTGGGTTACTGTGTATGTCTTTGAACACGACACGTCTGAACTAAATGCCATCAGTCATATGACCCAAGGTGAAACATGCATAGAGAAACACATGTCTTCTGTTTTATGACAACACTAAGAGCAAATTATCACTCAGTCATCACCCCCTCAGCTGAATTTAACCCAAGACCTTGTAAATGAGCCAGTGTTGAGTTGTGAGCGGAGATTCCTCTCAGATCAGTCTATAAAAATGATTTTGAAATATTTTTTCTCCACGCAGTACAGGGTAAAAGCAGTATCACCCACCTTTTCATTTAGGCCAGCTGCATGGACTGAATGATCGCTATCCAGCAGAATGCTTAATGTCCAGCATGTGAGCAAAGCCAGAACAAACCTCTGTCTGAATGACAGAAAGCCGTCACTTGAACAGATTCCACTGCATTGTTCCCTTCTGAATGTGTGTAAAATAAATCTTGCAGACAGAACATTGTGGTTGTTTCACTGACACATCAATGATGAATTGTACGTATTGTTTGTGGCTGTTACTCTGTGCCGTTATTACTTTCAATGGATTAGTAGGATGAAACAAACTAGAAAACAGATTTTGTTCCTGCAGAATTATGTTTTATGTTTCTCACAAGACTGGTTCCCTCCTCCGAGTCATTAAGGATTTTTTTTAATCAGGAGTCATTATAATAAGGTACATTACAACCAAATCTTGCACTCTTACAGCTCCAGTGGATATTTTCTAGTCAACTGAGATCCTACAGCTTTACCATCATGCCAACGTTTCAAACTAAGAAGTCACATTGTAACAGTGTTTACAATATTTACGTTGTTGTTGTGTTTGCTGTTGATTCATGTAGTTAAACACGTCGTGCACTGACTGTTTCTAGCTTGAGAATCAAACAGCTACACGATAAGAAGTGTTTTAGAACAAGTGAGTAAAATGTCTCTCTTCTGTCTTCCTGTCAGCCAACACATACTTCTTCATGGTGCAGGCTCAGGGCATCATGTTGAGGAACAACGTGAGGACCTTCGGCCAGATGATCCGATTGTACACGAACAAGAACAGTACACTCAACGGGACGGGTAAGTGACACACACACACACACGCCCTTTTACCATACGGTGGGTCTGTACATTGTCATTCAAATACTACATCAATATTTTATTAATATTTCTATTTATTGTGTTTAAACCTGGCATTCCTGTACAGTTTCAGACTACAGACACCTGCATGAATGGGATTTTTTAGCAGCAATGTAACAATGCGTCAGTGACAATGAATAGATATAATCACAATAACAAAAAAATCCATTACGCTTATGTTATAAGCTCGAGGGCGCAATTATTATTTCATCATTATTTTCTGCCCTTGTTGGATTAGCTCGCCTGCATGAATTTACGTTAAAGTAAATTACTAAAGTTTAATTTAATAAAAAATACAAATTGAATCCAATGAGTCACTCTATTCACAGGATTTTGTTTGTTTTGTTGTTTTTATTTTTTATTTTTTTAAGGTAATGACATCCTTAGATAAAATACGTCATTCAAAGCGTCATTTGAAAACCTCAGCGGAAGCTTTGAATGTTGGATACAGCCCTACTTTATGGATGATTGGCAGTTTTTCTTGTCCAAATTCAAACATTCTACATGCAGCATGTACAATTAGCATTTATTTTGTGATAAATGAGATTGCCAGTTCCAGTACGTGGATGTCCAGATGGTGGTGTGTAGCCACACTGCATACATGCACCAAGATGCATTTTAGAGATAACAGCTGTCACTCAAACCCTGGCTGGCATGTGGCTTTCAACTCTTTATCACATTCAGTTGGGAAAAGCTGCAGTTTCTGCTTTCCTTCCAAATGCTTGTTTGCAACAAAGCCAGCCACATTTCCAGTGATCCATTTCAGTTATAGAGCACTTTCTAGATACTCAAGTTAGTTCAGCAAAGATTTTAGGAAGTCTTGTGATTTTGCTGCTGGAGATGGGCAACAGAGTACTGAAGTTACTGAAGCAACTAAACACCCAGTTTGAGCAAACGCACATTCAACCCCTGAAACAACGGTGTTTGAACTGTTAGCTTAGAGAGCAATAGAGCTGCAACAATTCATCAATTAATAGATTACTTGTTAGCTATTAAAGGTCCAGTGTGAAACATTTAGGAGGATCTATTGTCAAAAATGAAATATATTATGTATAGGTATGTTTTCATTAGTGAATAATCACCTGAATATGGGAATCGTTTTTTCTTTTTCTGCCTTTAGAAAGAACCTTTGCTATCTGCAGATGGCACTAAATCCTATACACTGGTCCTTATAATTAACTGCCAACTATTTTAATGTATAATTATATCTTTGGGTTGTGGACAAAACAAGACGTGAGGTCACCTTGGGGTTTGGGAAACGCTAATTAACATTTTTCACCATTTTATCGACCAAACAACTACTTGATTAATCGAGAAAATGACAACAACAGAGTAATCGATAATGAAAATCGTGGTTAGTTGCAGAGGCAGTGGAGAATAATAGAGCAAGGGGTGTGGATGAATCTGTCGCAAATGCTGATTAAAACTGTAAACTACTAGCTTACAAGAAGTCGTATTTCTGCTACTGTAGTACTTCTACATCTGCCACTTTCAGTTGTATGTTCACAACCTTTCAGACACACTGGCCACGCTGCAACTGCTGTCTTTTTATGACTAGGCTAGGGTGGTGTGATGTTTTTCATAGATCTTTTTGGGCTCTAGAGAACAGAAATACTGGATTTTCTAAAAATCTAACTTCTAAAATAGCTTCTGTTGTTATAAACACTATAAAAATCAGTAGATCCTACAATAAAGTAAATTACTAACTCAAAAAGTCTTGGATCACAGCAGCAGAGGAGAGCAGGAACCGGTGAAGATGAACTATATTGTTGCTCTTTTGACCACCTTGGTGTTGTTGAGCTGTTATTCTGCACGCAAACTAGTACAAGTACAATATTTCCCCCTGAACAGTACAGTAGTAGCATCAAGTGCATCAAATGGTAAATAAGCTTAAATTTTTTTATTAATTTAAGACTAGCAAGAGACATTTATCTAAAATAACCACATTTTAAACACGTAAAACGTAAAAGGCCCTAATTTGAAGGCATAACTGTTTCTGGAGTTTCACAATAGACATCCTGTTTGAGTCTCATTTGCTTCAGGTGATGTGGTTTGGAGTAGTCTGCTGTTTTGCCTGATGTAGTTTTTTTTTTGTTAAGCAGACTATCCTGATGGCAGTAACTCCAGTGAGTACCTGGTCCAGCCAACCACGTACCTCCCTGAGAACTTCACCTACGCCCAGAACCTCCCCTGCCCAGAGCGACTACCTTCTATGAGTGAGTACTGGTACCCGACAGCAGGAGGGGGGGCTTTCAGGGCATCAGTGAATCATTCAGTCCGTCTTTTTTATTTAAGAGCCTCTTACTGCACTTCAACCGTTGCTGCTTCATTGTTAAGTTGCCAGTCCAAAGACTTTTTCCAGTTGCTGTATTTCAAGAAAGATGGCTCGTACAGAGCTTTACAGTGCAGCATTTCACTAACACATGGGGGTAAAAAGGAGTGTGTGCAATTATAAAACAGCTGATCACATCAGCCCCCAGTTCAATTCTTTTATACCATATCAATAATGTAATAGTTCTGAATCAGGACCTCCAGTATTTGGCAAAAGTTTATTGTGAAAAATAAAGTGAGTCAAAGTCACATACATATTTAATGATTTCATATTCCCTTTATTTAACTTTGTATCTGGAGAATCGTTGCTCACCAAAAGTGACAAGTTGAGGTCTGTCTCATCTAATTTTCAGGTTGTAACTGCAAGTTATGAACATTCCAACCAATCTCTGTCCTCTCAGAATTCAGCTTCTTTGTCTAATCTAAATTTAAAGATTCAATACTGGGATTGGAATGGATTCAGATTTAATAAGCAGATTTAATAATGAAATCAGATTCACTAAGAAGATGTGGTAAAATACTATCAAATCCCAACTGCTAATTGTAACAGCTAGCAGAAAGTAGCGGCCTCTCCGCTGTTTGAAGGGATGCATTAATGAAACTCGTGGGTCCCTGTCCTTTGAGGGTCTCATTTGCGTTCTACAGAAATGAAATTCTTCACTCATCTCTTAGTTAAATCAGCTTGTCCCTGCAGCTTGTGTTTAATGTTAAAAGAAAAGCATTAACGTTATTTCTGCAGAAAAAAAAACAAAAAAACTTAAGCTGCTAAAAATAAATGGAAGTGTCAAAAACCCTCCTGAAATATGCAGGTTTCCTCCAGCAGGTGGAGCTGGTCACTGCGAATGAACAGTGTTACTATCTGTATGATTTGTAGCTTCCTGCTGATGAGTTGATAGAGGCAGGTAAAGCCTCTCTGTGCACCAGATACTCCTGCTGGGCCTTTTGCACAGTACCCACAGCATCCCCTCCCACAGTATTCTCTCAGTGTGGAGCTAATGAAGCAGTGTTTGGTCTGATGGAATGATTTCATGAAAACCATTAAGCAGGAACAAACAAGAAAAGGGTTGTGTCTTTCTTATGACAGCCTTGTTTTTTTCCTGTGCAGTCATTTTGTTGTTGTTTTGTTGCGTCAGTGGAATAACACCCCCACCCCATCTGTCCACAGAGGGCCTTATGGAAGTAAACATGACAGAGATCCCCATGGAGGAGATAGAACTGAAGTTCTCTAAGTTTTTTGACATGGAGTTTGGAGGCCATTGGAAACCAAAGGACTGCAGACCTCGCTGGAAGGTGGGTTTATGCATTTTACAGGTATCTCACACATTCACTCAGTGATAGCAAAGCCCATCGAACACATTCACACCGATGATGCAGCATCAGGAGCAATTTGGGGATCAGTATCTTGCCCAAGTGGACGACCTGCTCTACCTCTGAGCCACAGCCGCTTTACACCCTCACTCAGATTGGCTACATAAACCTGTGGGCCTACTGATAAATTATATGGCCATTTGTGAGCAACTGCTGTCCTATATTTAACAAGGTAAACTCCTGGAAAGGTCTTGGGGAAATGATTTGTTAAAAAGAGCTGTAACCCTGAAAGACACCAGATGGATTCAGTAGGCATGAGCTGATTCTTATTCTAATGTTTGTGCTTTAGGTGGCCATCCTGATTCCATTCAGAAACCGCCATGAACATCTCCCCATCCTCTTCCAACACCTCATCCCCATCCTGCAGAGACAGCGGCTGCAGTTTGCCTTCTACGTCATCGAACAGGTACCGTCTGTTGTTGTATGTGTCTGCAATGCAGTCTATAGTGAGGCATTCTGGGTAGTGAAGGCAGTCCCTGACGTTAAACAAAACTTCATATGACTATTTATTTTATAGACTCATTGACTCGTGTGTGTCTGTGTGTGTCTGTGTGTGTCTGTCCAGAGTGGGAGCCAGCCCTTCAACAGAGCCATGCTCTTTAATGTGGGATTCCTGGAGGCCATGAAGGACTTGGACTGGGACTGCTTGATCTTCCATGACGTGGACCACATCCCCGAGAACGACCGAAACTACTACGGCTGTGGTCAGATGCCCCGCCACTTTGCTGCCAAGCTGGACAAATACATGTACATGTGAGTGCATCCGTTGACCCAAAGGCAGTGAACCCATCCAGATCCTGCAGGTGTATGTTTAACTCGCGTTTGTTGCTGTTTTGCAGCCTACCATACAGCGAGTTCTTTGGTGGTGTGAGCGGACTCACCGTGGAGCAGTTCCGCAAGATTAATGGCTTTCCTAATGCATTCTGGGGCTGGGGAGGAGAGGATGATGACTTGTGGAACAGGTTAGTCTACTAAAGCGAGGACGCAGTGGATGCACAGTGTTCAGACCCCTTCATAGGAAGCCATCAAGGCAGGGAGGGATTTGACCACATAAACCGGCTTTGTTTCCACACTTGATGGCTAACAAGTGGGTGCAACTAGGCTTGAGGCATGCTCTATCTATCTAACTGACAAAGCAACAGACTTTAGTGTCTCCAGAGGTGTAGTCTGGTTAATGTCCTCAAGTGATGTCACTTCAGTCAGTGTTGGTTGGGGATAAAACTGTGGGGGAAGACATGTATGAGCTCACAAGACCTCTGTAGCTTGCTCTTCATCTCTGCTTGTGACTCCAGGCTGCATTAGCTGCTCCAACATAACACAGCAATCTGCTACCTGCTACCCAACTGTCAGCAGTGGAGTTGCATTGTGGGTAATGTAGATGCCAGGTTTTGACAAGGAAGAATAATGCATGGAATAAAGACAATGTCTCTGTTCAGGGTGTCCCCTGGGTCTTAAAATTCAGATTATTGGATTTTTGACTCTTTAAGCCAAAACATGTCTCCAATAGGATTTTGACAGGTCTTAAGAATTGATTGAATTAACTAAGTTAACGTTACTTGTATAAAGTTGTGTTTTTAATTCATTTTTAAATGATATTGTAAAGAGGCGATATATTGCGTTTTGTTTTCAATCTAATTTTAGGAAAATTGTCCCGTATAAAGAAATGTAGGCAATGTGACTCAGCTGTATCAAATGAAATATTAAATTCTAACTGTTTAGTAATTAAGTTGCAATATTCTTCATTATTCAGCTGACATCCAACCAGAGGACCCTGACTCTGAGAGTATGCACATCGTCTTTATGAGGCAAATAAACGCGATTTTAAGTTTGATTTTGAAGTGTAAAGCTGTGAGGGCGTTGGTTTCTGAGGAGAGATTATGTTTTGCTCCACAACTCGCTGCCTTTCACCAGTTGCCTCTAGTTGCTATAACTTTTAGGATATGCTGTCCAATGTGACAAACCTTTAAACATGACCTCGTCCATGAGTCACATCACATAGATTTCTATCAGCAATGGTGGATATTTAACAATGAAGACAACTCCCATGATTCCACACTACTTCACAACGTCAGCAAACTACGCCTTTTGCTGTTGTTTTGATGTGAGAAACCTCCGTTGCCATAGTGGTAATGAATGGAACCATATAGCACCCTACTAGGACTCCCCAAAGCTTTGCAGAGGGTCACGAGGCCACCTTGATTTTAAGGTGTGCTAAAAAACTTTAAAATATACACAGTAGGCTTATATATCTCACTGTAACACCAGATAAATTCATTTAACTCAATGTTGAAACTGATTACATCAAGTAAAGGTAGTAAAACCAACTACAAGAACAAGGTCTTTTTATTTAAGATTTTCACGGTAGAACCAACCTGTACCGCCAAATCAAAGACAGTCATTTTGCACACAAGGTGCGTCACGTAAATAAATATAGCAGGGACAGAAAGAACATATGTGACAATACAAGTAAGAGGTTCACATGTATTACAGGGTTACATTTTCTGCTGCCATTTGATCCACCAATGTCCTGAAGGGCTGCCAGGTTACATAGAATTTCAAAACAGACCTTTTTTTTCAAACCAACTCAGGTTTTTAAATTAAAATGACATTCTTGATCCAGTAGCTTTAGTAAGTGAGAATGTACTGTGAAAACAAAATACCTTGTTAAAAGTTATTAATCAGGAATGTTTCTGTAACTTACAAAACTAAGGTAGTGATACTTAAAATTACTTCTAAAAGCGACTTAATCTTCTTTAATCTAAAAAATCAGTTTCAACATTTTTTGGGGGGGTTAAAAGAACTTGTCTGGTTTTACAGTGCAGCATTTGGGTCACTGCTGTGAAGAAATGTAAAGTAAATTGTCTAATAGAACAATGGCCAAGTGTCGGGGACAGGAAGACACAACATTTTTTTTAGAAAAGAAAAATAACAGGATTTTATCTTCTCAAAATTCATCCAAATCTCTGGTTTTACACAAACTTCTTTACAGTGTTGAATATAATCCATCAAATATGTCACCTAGGCAGGGCTCACTTTATTAATGATAGAAAAGGGGTCCCTTGAGGAAAAATGTTGGGAACCACTGCTATAGAACAAGTGAAAATATCAGCCAGTACCATCATATTACTGTGATTCCATTTGTGTGCAAACAGAGATAATCACCATGTTCTCAGCCTGATTGTTCAGTTTCAACTGACTGCTTTGTACTTTCAGCTCACTGCCAACAAATGTTTAACAATCATGCCTGTAAGTAGATGTTCCTCATGTTCCTATCAACAGATTGTTGGTAAACTGCTCACAGTGTTCCGTTAGACTGAAGCACATGAAACAATGGGTTGATGTTTGCTGTATGCTCGTATCGGTTCAGTGCCGTCAATAGTAACACAGCCTGGTCTCTCCTCAGGGTTCACTACGCCGGTCTGAATGTGACACGACCAGAGGGAGAGATCGGCAAGTACAAGTCAATCCCTCACCACCACAGAGGAGAGGTGCAGTTCCTCGGGAGGTGAGGCAGCTTCTTGAATCACAGCAAAAAATGAAGTCTCTTCTTTCATTTGAACTTCATCTGACACCCACTAGATACTGACTCCAGTGTCTGCTTTGTTTTTCACAAAAGTGATTTAGATAGATAGAGCCTTATGTATCCTCTTCCTCTATGCCATAGAGCTCCTTCTAGAGCTTGAACTGGGGGCAGACGGAGTGTATAAAGGCTGATCTGAGAACTGTGACTGTGTGTTTGCAGGTATAAACTGCTGAGGTATTCCAAAGAGCGGCAACACTTGGACGGCCTCAACAACCTCCACTACAGCCCCCACATCTCCCTCAGCAGCCTCTACAAGAACATCACAGTGGACCTGTACCCTGAGCTCGCTCCTATCACAGACTACTGAACTGCCCCGCCCCCTGCGCCCCATCAAGCCCCCCACTCCCCTCCCTCTACCCAACCCCTGGTCCACACACCCCCAGCTCACCAACTCCCCTGTGGCCTGGCTTCCCAGCGCCCCCGTCAAGCCAAATTCAGAGGCGTAGCGGCAGAGGAGAGGAGGGGGGGCGCAGGCCGGCAGGGGTGAACCGAGAAAAGAGAGGAAAAAATGAAGAGGCAGTGGCAAAGTCTCTCAAAGTGAACTGTGTGTGTGTGTGTGTTGCGTGTGTGTGTGTGTGTGTGTGTGTGTGGTTGCGTGTGTGTGTGTGTGTTGCGTGTGTGTGTTGCGTGTGTGTGTCTTGCATGTCTTTTTGTCCGTGCCGGCTTAACTTCTACAAGTTGACATGAGTCTTGGTTTAGGCTGGAGGGAGCAGCAGCATCTCAGCTCCGATGTTTACTGCAAAGCCTTAACGTGGCAGAACCACAGCTCCCTCCCGCTCGGCTCCGCACTGCTTCACTTCTGATGTATCACCGTCACCTTACAAGCCAACAGACAAGATCTTTGTCTCACTTTCTACTATTGTTTTGTTTTATACATATCATTTCGTCAGGCCGCAGTAATTCCTTTTTAAAAGGAGGGATCTGATCGAGGTCGACATTAATGTTTGTGATGTACATTTTTTATTTTTATTTTGATAATGTAGTATTTATTTTTGCTCTGAGTCAGGACGAAGCGCTCCTGTCGTGTCACTCAAGTGTTTTTTGCCGTTTTGTTTCGCTGCACTGCTGCTGAATCCGCATGAACATGTATGTAAATATCGGCCTCTTAAAAGCTCGAACACAGAACACAAACATGTAAATATGGGCCTTTAAACGCTCGGGCATATTACAGTGAATATTCCAGTGGGTTTGAATTTTATTTTGGCAGCTACCTTCGTTCTGAGGATTTAATAAAGAGTGAGTGGTTTCTTCCTAACAGGAAGATCTTCTAACAATATAGGATGTTTGGCTTAAAAAAAAAAAGTATCCAAATCTCAAGATTTAACATTATCTTTTGCATGCCTTAATTTATTTTGTTTACCAGATTTTGTTCTTTTTCAGACATAAATTATTTCATCAGTTAGAGATGTGTATATTTTTTAATTTTGCCTTTTTTTGGTGTGCTTTTTTTTCTCTTTGAGGTGCACTGTGTGAAAAAGAGTAGAGCTGCTCTCAGACGGAGGGAGCCGCGTCCCTCCCCCGTGACTTTTGTACAGGGAGCAGGGTCGGCCATTACAGCAGGAGTGTGTCCACACAACATGCTTTAGTACAGGTTCATGGTCTCATGTGAGTGTATATTTTTTGTCTCAGATGTGTTTTTATTTTTTATGATTTTTATTCCAATGATTTAGTGCTGGACCATGTGATAAATCTCTTCTTTGTACTGTACCGTGCGCTGAAAGCATGGGGATTGGGGCTGGATGCTGTGTGTGTGTGTCTGGACTATGGTGTTGTTAATATTTTCTAAGTTTGTGAGGCAGTCAGAAGGGCCAGAATGAGAGAACCTTGGCATCAGCCCCTCGCAGCTGGAGCCACTGCTGTTCTTGAATGGCACGCGCTGTGAAAAGTTTAATTTCTTAAAGCTTTGAGCACTATAAAGATGGAGAGAAACATGTAGGCAGATTATTTTTGACCAGATGTTCACTGTTAAGATTCTCCTCTATATCTCTAGGTTTTGAATTTGACCATGAATTGTATGTTTGGACATTTTCTTTGATTGTATGTCCAGAGATGTTAAATTAGAACTCTGGCCATTTTGTTGCCCTGGGCCCTTATTTCCTGTTCATCTTGTTAACTGCTCAGTTAGAGTCTCTTAGAGGCCCTGACACACTGTGCCATTTTGGTCCAAACTGTGGTCCTATCTCACTGTGAGACACGTCCACCGACGGCCCAATTAGAGCTTTGGTAACCAAAGACGTGTAAGACCTTCAGAACCAAATGGTTTCTATGTGACTGCTGCTGAAAGCCACAAATCAACTGATCAGAACAGTACGCGTAACACGCTGTCTAACCCGACAGATATGTACATACACACTAGCTGTGTACTGTATATATCATGGTGGCATAACTGTCATTTTTTAATGTAGAAAAAATGTTGAGAAACTCATGAAGAAGTCCATTGAATTGGTCATATCACATGATCTTCATCAGCAGAGGGGAGTTTGCCCTGTTATGGATGTCTGCTGATGAAGATCATGTGAAATGACTGAAAGCTCGAGAGTAGCTACTTAAAGGTCCTCTTCGTGTGATTTGGTAAAGATGGAGGAACGTTTTTAAAACACGAGTGGCAGCAGATGGCCCATGTGTGTCGATGGCGTTTCTGCTCTCATTTATATTTTGATTTTTAGAAATGAAACGATTAGTCATTTAATCAACTGACCCTTCCTAAGTCCCGCCCCCCTCAGTCATCTTCCTCTTTTCCTGTACATTGGAGCTCAGAGCAAAAAGGGCCGGGACTTGGGATGGGTCATTTAGTTGATTGACAGAAAGTTAGTCTGCAGCTGTTTGGATAATTGATGAATTGTTTTAGTAAGACAGCGAGCAATTTGAAGATAAAGTAATCAGCAGGTTAGTTGAATTTTTAGTTGTGGGCCTAATTTAGTTTTCTGTTTACGTTGTAGCGCTGTGAGCATTCTGACGTGCCTCAACATTGACATGATACAGCGACCTAGACTGTATTAGACCCATCACTGGACTTAGAAGATGGCTGTTATCTTACAGTGTGCATGGTCCGCGGCGCAGTCATTCTTTTCTGATGCGTCTCTCCTGTCAGTACTCCTGACAGCAGGCTAATAAAAGCATGTCTTTTTTCAGAGTGGAGACATTGTGTGATAAGACGTGGAAATGAGTTTATAACCAAAAGTGTTAAATGGCACCACTTTTCAGAGGTGCTTCAGTGGTATTTTTGGCTTTCATGACATGTGTTGAAAAGACAGTGTCGGTGCGCTGTTAATATTTGGAGAGAAAGCTGACGGGTCCACATGTAGTGAAGCAGTTGATGAGGTTTAGCTGACAATAGAGGGAAAATGGGCTCCAGGCATGAAATGGTCAGAGTGATGTTTATTTTCTATAGTTTTTAAAGCATTACGTGTCCGTCAGGGTTCTTCCACAAATGCTGCAAGGACTTCTGGGAAAGGCTGTCTTTAAGCCACCTACCCTCCCAAAAGCCATTGCAGCGGTGACTGTCGGAGCAGCCTGTATATGTTTACAGTTGTTATTTTGTTTTGTTTTTTTGTGGCTGAACCTCAATGCTACGACACAATCCGGCTCGTGTTCCGCCACAAAGCTTTAACACTTCAGAGCGAGATTAGAGAGAAGAGCAGTCACCGGTCGCCATTTTAGCTGTGCTCTTTCCTTTTTCCGAGCTACGAACAGCGTCGGGTTAGCAGATGATTCTCTTGTGCTATGCCTTTCTTAGCTTAGTACCACATTTTTTGCATAAGAGAAGAAGTGGGCCGTGTTTGTAGGTTGCATTGGCCGTGGTCTGACCGTGTAGCAGCAATATTGTTGAAGTGGTTCACGTGGCCCAGCTGCTCACTTCATCACAGCATTGTATTCATGACTCTTGGTGATCAACTGGTCAGGGCATAACCCCTCCCCCCCCATCACCATTACTTATACACCCTGCCCCCATTGGTCTGTTGCTACAGTATTTAATGCAGCAGTAATGCCTTAATTTATTAGTTACTGTTCGTAGTGAAATATCAAATATCTGAGAAGCCGTATTCAAAAATAAGAAGCCACTTCCATGACTAGACTGACTCATGTGGTTTCTCAGCTCCCTTGAAAGCAGAAAGAGTTCCTTCTAAGAAAATATTTTTTTCTTAATGTTAGGGAAAATTAGGGACGAAACGCGCCACTTTGAACATGATTTCATTCAGATTCCAGACAGACAGTTTTTAGCCACAAAAACGCTTCCACCATATTGGCCAAGACCAAGACGCCCCATTTTCTTCGTTTTTTTTAAGTGCTTGTTTCATCAGCATCGCCTGTCAGGATTCTGCCTACCCTCCCCCGCCCCTCAGTGCAAGGGTTACCTGGCCTCTGCAGTTCTCCACCCACCTGTTCTCTCCCGCGTCTGTCATTTTACAGTAAAACAAACCTTAATCACGATCAAAAGCAAGCGGAGCATCTTTTCTCACTCTCCCACAACAGCCTAAACATAGACTTGGCTTTTACAGTATTTATAGTGTAGTGTATAATCAGCAAACCATCTGGTTTAGAGTCAAACATTCTCCACAGACAGTCAAGGTCAGAGAGGGGAAGAACTGAACAACAGAAATGTACACCCCTTACGTGGGAGATGCAGCTTGTTAAAGGGGCACTCCAGCAGTTTAGCATTGTGTCAGACGAAGACGGGGAAAAAAAAAACAATAATTAGATCACCAGAGGCTGATATATCCAGACTTGTAGTCCTTAATGAATGTCACACCTGTTTGAGTGACGAGCAAACCCTTTTTGAATTTAAGAAAATTGGCACCAAGCTCCAAAAACACTGAGTAAGTTTCAGCTTCCCAAATTGCAACTCAAAGCCTGTGTCTGGTAAATGCGCATTTCCAGAAATGTGGAATTTCTGTTATACATTTGTTGCCCAAGATGTATGGAAGCCCATTTCTGCCAATGTTTCTTGAAGTCATTATGAGAAACGGTCTTATATTATTTTGACTAAATATCTCAAAGTCATTCATGAGATAACCCTGATGACATCACTATTGCATCATCAGGGTTATGTGGTTTCATTAGAACTCAACCATTCTATGTAAATTTTGAGTTTTCCTTTAACAACTGAAGCAGTAGAAGGCGAGGCAGGTCACAGTATTGAATATCACGGACTGTCTCTTTTACACAGCGTTGTGCTTTAATGCTCTTCTCGAGGGCAGTACCAAGTGGATAAACGGAAGAAGAGTGACAGGGCAAGTCAGCATATAGGGTTTAGGATCAGACTATATTCCATCATTCTCATGGATCTTTGTATCTAGTTCACATGGGCCAAGCCTAAACTCTGGTCCAGATGCCAAGTGCTAAACCGGGTTAGTCTTATCTTGGATCATTTTTTCCAAAACGTTTGTATTAGTCTTTAGGGTGTCGGGTCAGCAGGTTATCAGCAGACTCCACCCAGAACCGTTTTATCTGAAAGCTTAAAGTATCGTTCATATGATGTGTTCACCATTAGACAACTGTATTCCATTTTGCAGTATTTATTTGTGCCTTGAGTTCTTTTTTCTTTTTCACTCTACATTCAGATTGAAGCGATTAAAAGTGTTTTGTTTTCCTGAATTGTCAATGTTTTGTCCCCTTTAACCATATCAAGTCAGACAGGAATATGTTCACGATAAGAATCCAAAAGATCAGTCTGTCCGTTGTTTATGGCTGCCTTGAAGTTGCGTGTAACAATCCACTGTGACCGCCTGTGGGTGCACGTTCGACAAAAGCTTCGCCCTCATGCACCAAGACTGAGATGTGAGGGCAGCCTTCGTGTTTAATGCACATCGCTTTCAGCTCATTTGCCTAGAAATTGATACAAACAAGCACATAACGTGTCGTCAACACCATCAAGCACAAATTTGCTGAAGCTAAGAGGCTCATCCACCAAGAGCTGCACCTCAAAAACCTGTTTTTATAGGCTTCAAATCTGCATGCCTACAAATACATATGTGGACAAATAATGTCATTTACATCCAATTTCCTTGTGCATGACTGAAGCGGGTCCACACAGAGGCTCTGCAGGCAGCTTCCCACCAATGGGCAGTTACTGAACGAACAGCGTTACGTTCAATTCACACATTCATCCCTGTGCTAAGTAACCCAGGCTCTGATGGTTATCATCATTCTGCCTCACACTGGTCATGTGGATGTTTGTAACACCTGTCTTTATTTTCCCATCTTCACCAAGCCCATCTTGCATTGTATCAAAATGTACTTTTCTTAAACTCTCAAAAATGTTCATGAGAACCTGACCGATGAATCAATATCATAGTATATTGGCATATGTGCTCATAGTGACCAATGTGCATCCAGATGCCAAAGATGTTTGAAGTCATTAAGAAATAGTGTTGCTGTTACATCTTTTGTCCACCAGAGTGTGCTAACAAGTTAATTAATCGACTGCAAGGTGCCCTGCTCGATACATGTCTGGGTCACAGTTCTAAAAGAGCCAATCTTAGTAATTAAGAACTTATGTCTATCAATAACATTTCAGTTTTTTAACAAAAGCAATCTATCACAAGGTGGACCGATGGCAAACTTTCCAGAGCTTTCAGCCACATTGATCATTACATAAGAGTGCAGCCGATTAATCAGCTGCTATTAGTCTATTGCAGATATATTGGTATCACTGTATATGGCAGAACTTCAGAAATGCTTAAGATATGTTTGAAGGAACACCACCACAAGGTGGTCCTGTTCTGGAGCTTTCCTTTTTATCCCAACTGTTAAGCCAACACAAAAAGTCTGAAATACCTTGAAAAAAATCTGTAAGAGATCTTCATGTGAAGATCATGGCATACAGTTGAAAGCTCCAGTGCAGCTACACAACGGATCTTTTGGTGAGAATCATAGAATGAATTGGCAATCCCAAAATGTTTGAATTTATGTAGAAAAAGTGCTGGTAAAATAAATGAACCGATAAGTTTTTATAACCATCCAATATTGATATTATCAGTATTCTCAGTCTCCAACCAGGTATCGGTCCAGCTTTAGACAAGAACTGAACTATCTGCTGATGAAGACCATGAGATGTGATCTGTCAAACTGCTATTTCCATGGCCAATATTGACCCTTCAATATACGGTTGAAATGTTTTTTATAAATCTCATTATCGCCCTCTTAGACCCAGTACCCATCAGGCTTTACTGGTACTGAATGAAAGGGGTCTAAACATTGTGGAATTATGGCCACACTGGTATTTGTTTGATGGTTGAACAAAATCTGAGGCCTTTATTGAACAATGTCCTGAGAGCTTTATTAAAATTAAAATTAGGACTGAAATGGAAATAAATTGTCCCTTCCCAAGTCCCGCCCCTTTTTACGCTGTGCTCCAATAACAGTTGAGTAAGCCTCGTTCAGAACCTCAGTCAACTTCCTCCTTTCCTGTACTTAGATATGCTATGTGCTAGGCTAATGTATGTTGAAAGACGGTTAAAAGATAAAAACATATAGTCACATCTAAAGTTAGCTGTATGTTTGCAAAACATAGGTAATCCACATTCACATCTGAAAAGTGATCCTGGTCCTGTCCTGCAGAACTCCGTCTGGGTGTTGGACAGCATCACTTCCTTTACAGGATGGCGTGGCACAGCTTTTCTTTGTAGCGTTTTGACCCTCTGTATGTCACGATCAGCTGATCACCACGAGTTCATGTGGAAGAAGGAAGCGGAGTTGCGCACTGAGCCAACCCTGTGAACATTAATGTTAATGTAGCACCCACTCCGCACATGCTCAGTTCCTTCAGTTCTGTCTCGTTCCTGCCTCTCACTGGCTCTGAAGCATGTGCTAGAGCCCACTCCCCCCCCCCCCCCCCCCCCCCACCCCCTCAGACGTCACTGAACTTTTTTACATGGTGAAGTTAGCTCCATTGTCAGACCTCTGCAGTCTTTGGTAACAGACAGTATAAATCAGCTTGAGTCTGGTGTTGAACCGTTACTTTGTAAAGTTTTTTTTTTCTTTGTCAACAGAAGACAAAATAAACACTTCATTGCCATATTCTGGAAAACAGCCTTGACGTTTATCTCGTTTATTTTCTCTTGCTTATCTTTGCTATGACATTACATGTGTTGATGGTTGAATTACAGCAGTCTCGTGTCACTAACCGCTCGTATTGTATGAAGAAGGCCTGTGTGATGAGGCCAGGGGTGGATCTAGAGATGCATGGAGTGGCCGCTGCAGCAAAAATGCTTTTTGGAAATAAAACAATCTTAATTTCTAATGCCAGCTTCTGTGGTTTATTAATGTACCACAATAATGTACAGCAGTTCAAATATCTGCCACCCCTTAAAGCCCCTATGCCACTACATGAATATGTCCCTAGGTCTGCCCCTGGATGCAGCATTATCATGTCAGATAGGTTTGAAATTGTGAGCACTTGCAAATAAGTTAGATGTGTAGCAGCTGCAAGCTGAGAACACCAGGTCTTTTGTTTCATACACTAAATGTTCCGTTAATAGTCCCTCTTTATATTTATAAAACAGTTTGGCTTTTGTTTTTTCTTAAAGATCACATTTGCATTTGCATTATTTTTTTTAAACCATGACCTGCATAAAGTTCATAGCAGCTCCTCGTGTAGTATCCAGGCAGCAACCTCCGTGGCTGTAAAATGAAGCCAATATGGAAGTTACAAAAGCTGCAGTTCCTCTAACGGCCACTTGAGGCTGGCTCCAGCAGTGAGTCAATCTCCTTAAGGCCCCATATTAAAATGCCCAACTTCACAGCAGAAATAAACATGTTTAGTTTACAACAGTGTATGTCTCTATAGCTAATTTCCCCGCTCATGACAACTGTACAGGGGGATGAATTTTTATATAACTCACCTGTTATATAAGGGCTTGAAGTTCTGCATAATTAAACCCCAAAACCAACAATGTGTTGGTCTGTGTCCCAATACTCTTTGACTTCTCTGTGGCTGTCAGCTCCAATCCCATTGGTTCCTACTGATCTTTAAAAACAGCTCTGTTGGAGCCATGTTGAGAGTTTCTGATAAGAAGACCTGGAAGAGGGATGTTGTGAGTTAATTTATGATAATTTGATTTATAAAAAAAGAAGAAATGTGATCATTCTGTTTATTTACCTTTTGATTATATAATCCTAAAGACATTGAGATTGTTCACTGACCTAAACCCCCTGGTTTCCGCGCCCCCAGGGCGCTGGTAGGAGCTGGGATGCTGGGTGTATGGTAGATGGCAGAGAGCAGAGTTTCTCGCCACCCCTTTTAGGAAATAGAGTGTATCTCCATGTGTCTTTATGAAGTGTTGGAACCCCTCCCCTAACTTCAGTTGGTCAAATGGAAGATTTAAATTGTCACTTAAGCTCACAAATATTAAAAAAAAAAAAAAAAAATTAAAAACTAATTTTAAAAAAAAAAGCATTTGTTGGGGACTCATTTCAGCAGCAGATTAATCCACATTTGGTAAGTATTTGGGGCAGCAGGATGATGTATGTGGGATTGAGACTAGTAAATTACAGTGTGTGTTCATGATGATGAAGGAACATGTCTGGTAGTGCAACAGTGTGGCTCATTGATGTGTCTTTAATTTAGTTTTTGGACAACAATGTAGGTCTGTGGCACAGAGGAAGCTATATATTTAAGGCTTTGAAAGACACACACACTACTTATTAGTTGATACATTCATTGTTGGTTTGGATCATCATGTGAGAGTTCTCCGGCCTTGTGCAGCTTGCTGTCCCGACACCTCCGCCGGACTGTAAATATCCACGGTCTGTCACTGGTGTGCGTCTGTGACCACGGCTGTGGTGGTGTAGGAGTACGGACTGAGCAGCAGGGCCAAGGTATAGTGACGGTGACCTTCAGTGTGGGCCTCAAACACCACCTGCGTGCGCGCACACACACACACACACCACACAGGGTCAATGACAGGAACATTTACACTCAGTGTGAGCCTCACAGTGGAGCGTAAAGTTACTGCTGAGAACAGGAGAGAGAGAAATAAGAAAACAGACGATGTCTCCATGTTTGAAACCACCCACCTCAAAAATGCACTGTAAATTAGGTCTAGAAACAGAAGTAAGAAACAACATGGCTGATAAAAATGAAGGTTTATAGATGGCCGAGGAGAAAGGTTTGAATGAATTTTAAAATACAATATACACGTATACAAATAGCTTGCTCGGAACAATAATGTGTGTCAGATATGTTCAGGATCATTTCCAAATTGAAATCCATAAAACTGCATGAAATCCAAACTATTTGTGATGTCACAAATCATGCTGGTAGGCCCCGCCCCTTAAAATCTGATTTTCAATGAGCTCAGAGAAACTTTGTACTTTCAGCAGATGAATGTGAAAACATCGTTCTAGAGTCAAACTCTGTCAAGACAATTGATGTATAAATCAAAGTGAATATAGAAGAGAAAGAGGCCTTTAGATGATGATAACATGACTTTTAGCCACGTTGTTCTGGGAAGTGTGTCCTCACACTGGGGACACACAGCAGAATAGCAAACAGCTGCTTGAACATGCTAATGTAAATAGTGACTCCAGCACTGTCCTGATGTACTGCTGTCTGGCTTCAAGATAAGACCAGATAACAGCAGATAAGCCTTTACACAGGTTATAGTGTGTGTTATAGTGCCAGTCTACTCTGTCAGAACTGCTCGTCTGATGGTCAAATAGCTTCAGGAACCCTCTTCCCAGTTTGGTCGATCATTCTGTAACAATCTGACATTCACTCACAGTCCCTCATTTCTTGAATTCCCTATCTTTAAGGGGGTTCATGTAACAAAATCACAAGATCATTTGAGAATTCATTTTACCACGATTCAAGCTTATGTGCTTGTGTCCAACCACAGTGGTTTGGACCAATCAGTGCCCTCTGAGGAACTACTGGCAGCTACAGAATGAGCTACAGGCATGGTTTATTGATGTGTGTGTGCGAAATGACGGTTTGCTCAAAAACAACAATGGCAGCTGCTAAAGAGGTTAGCGTAGCTGCTGTTAGCATCAGTTCTATCAGAACTGGAGAGTGTTTCTTTATTGAAAGAGCAAAGAACACCACTGAAGGCTTTTCTCCACTTCAGTCAGTGTGACTACGTTATATGGTTTATTGATCTGATTGGTTCAAGTTCACCTGTGATAGATGGTGACGGACAGATGGATCATCCAATCACCTGTGAAGTACCAGCAGAGTAGTGCTTAAACAACAGGAATACAACACTATATGCCAAAAATGGCAAAATTGTTCAGGGCCTGACACCCTCAACAGCCTAGCTCTGTTGGCTTTTGTCAGTTTGTCTTTCTCTGTTGGTTTATCTTTGCTGGCCTGTCTGTGTTGGTCGTTCTGTCTCTGTTAGGGTATTCAGCCTTTGTTGCCAGTACAGAACTTCCAATTCCTGCACTGCGCTCATTACTGGAATTTCTGCAACAGCCTGGAACTGGAGATGAATCTCAGATTAAAGTAAGCATACTGAAAAATGATCTAAAACTTAATAAGGGATTCTTCACATTCTATACTCACATCAGCTGCTTCATGGAACGGCGTGCTCCCCTCATTCTTCCAGTAAGCTTTGGTGTCAAACTCAACACGATACACTCCTGCTGGGAACTGCTGCTCTGTGATCAGATCGTGGATCTCTCCGGTGGCGTCCGTCACTCTGCAGTGAGAAACAGTGACATCTGTCAGCATTAAACAGATGCATATAGCATATTTAAGGTTATATTTCATACTGTATGTACCCATTAGCGATATGTGTCCATCCCCCATCAGCAGCCTTCTGAGACACCTTGAGTGCGACTGATCCGGCTGGAGTCCCCTTCACCGCATCCAGGATTTTCACCGTCAGGGGACACCTTGTGTCAGTGCCCCCATGTTTCTCCTGCAGTACAGACACAAGATGGACTATCCCTCATCCTCTGTTGCTCATTGTCACAATATCCATCCTCATAGTAGCGGTATTGGAAAGCGTTGTTCTTCAAAATAATTTCAGATTGTGCATTTAAAGGTCCTGTGTGTAGGATTTAGTGGCATCTAGTGGTGTAGTTGCAGACTGCAACCCTTCCTTTCCAAGCGTGAGGGAGAGACTACCGTTGCCACAAACACACGGAAAATGTCAGTCTCAGAAAATATGTCTGTCCGTTCTGGGCATCAACATACTGTATATAAAGGTGGATGACGGCTCTCCAAAAGTGAACATCTGGATCACCCCCTGGTGGTGCCTTCATGTTAACAAATGGGACATGGGCCAAACTAAAATGTCAAAATACACATCAAAACTTTTCCCAAAGATGATTTCTGTCATTTTATGTGGTTCTTATCATGCTGATGTATGTTCAAGTGTTGTTTTTTCTTGGTTTTAATTAGTTATTTGAAGCTTTAAAAAGGGGGTTTCACAACATGATTGACAGCTGAGCAACTGAGTCGACCAGGCGTATGTGTGGGACTTCGACACCACGGCGCCAACCCCGATCCCTAATGCACACAATCTGGTTCTGAATGACATCACCACAGCAAGATGGCAGCGGCTGATTCCGGGATATTTTGGCTTTTTTTTGTACAGTGGGAGGAAGTGGAGACATGGCATCCATCTTTTATACGTCTATAGTTCTGGGCTACTCTAGACAACATGGTGGTTCACCATAGCAGCTGCCACGGAAGGGGACCCATGGCATTGATAGATAAAAAATGCTCATTCTAAGTTAACAAAAACACAACAATTCATATTTTCAAGTATCACATTGCTTATTCAGGTCAGAACATTCAGTGAACACAATCTGTGCTGCCGCTCATCCTACAGAGCTGTTATCTCTTGTGTTCACAGCACAGCAGAATATGAGCAGAGCTGTATGTACATTATGAACCGTCACAGGCAGGTCACTGAACTGATTCCACCTCCAAAAAAATCGATTCTGACACTACCATGTGCTGCTTGTTTGTAGAAGGTTAGCTTCTAACAGTCAGTAATGGTGTTTTAGTGTTGTTAAAGTTGTATTTAAAAAAGTAAGTAGGAGACAATCCTCATAGCAGGGCAGTCATCTGTTAACTGGGATGTGTTCAGGGACATCACATTTACCCGAACATTCAGCTCCTGCACAGTAATCTAAGGGAAGACTCTGGGTCCAATCTCATCTTTAAAACTGGGAGGTAGAGCTAAGCAATGTACCAGTGGGAAACACTGAAAAATACCCAAACCTTTAATGGAGCTCCCTTAGTTGAACATTATCATGTTATTATGGTCCAGCATTGTATTCCTTACATTAAGATAATTTCCTAGTCATTGATGGTTTGATTCATAAACATACTGATACCTTTTACACCACTGATCTATAAAGCTTAAATTAACTTAAAAGTGATGGCACCTGCCTCAGTGATTTCCCCTCATTCAATGTCAGCACAAATGAGCTTTTAGTCAGGAACAGCCATGGACCAAGATACAAATGCGATAGACAGTGAATTAACAGTGTGAGTCTGTGTTCAATTTGGCGTATATGTGCACTTATCTTAACTTATCCCATGGTCTTCTTCCATAAAGTGCAGCTAACCAACAGAGGCTGGAGAGTTGAAGTTTGTATGGAACTACAGTTTATCTTCATGGTTTATATTGATGCTGAATTAACAAGAATACTGTTGACATATGCAGACTTTATCTTGTGTTCCTAGAGTTTTATAGACATGTGACCAAATTATTAAAATGTCATATTTTTAGAGTTTGGTGTAATATTTACCCCGGAGAGCGCAGTGAGCTTTTCAAACTGCTCTGTATAGTTAGTCGAGTTTTAGAAACACTAAAGTATGATGCAGTTATCTGACATTGACTGCTGTTAATTATTGGTTTGATTAAGGGTTTAATAATGTGTGTATTGATTACTGCCACTGGCTGATAATTATCAGCTAATCATACTTAACGGTAGTATGCAGTAGAGGATTACCAGCAGGAGAATCACTTTCTAGAGAAATGTGTCTGAGAATATCTGGTGAAAACTTCAGATTGTTTACATTAATTACATATTGTTGGAACACAATAACTAAATACAAACTAAATACGAAATCTACAAATACAAATTTACAATCATTTTGGAACATACACTCAAACTAAAACATTATTGTACATAGAGCCACACAGACACTGACCGTGGGGGTGGGGGTGGCATTGCAGAGCAGCACAGCGGAGGTCAGAAGCAGACAGCGCAGTGGTTGAAGCATGGCGGGCTGATGGGTAGGCAGGCAGACAGAAGTCACTAGTGTTCACCACAGTCTCAGGCCTCTTATGACAGCAGCTGCCCCTCTCCCCCTTCTCCCCCATCACTCGCTCCCTGCCAGCCCTGTGGACCACGTCAGTACCTGGACAATGAATAACTACATCAGCTTTGGACTAAAAGCTGAGGATTATATAGCAGGATAACGATCAGTTTTTCCTTATGCCAGTAAATCCTGCACACTGGTCCTTTAAGTCAAAAGTCCTCACTCTTTTAGTATTAGCAGTAAAAATTCTGGTTTCATCTCTATGACTGATATGATTGTATGTGACGTTATTACATTTTTAATACTGACGCAGTCAGGTAGTTCCTGACATGAAAGGGCTGGCCCCTCCACAGGGTCACCAGATAAATCAGAGGGGTCGTAGAGGGGGTAGTTTGAGCTACAGTAGCTCTTCTGTTGGATCGGACCACACGGGCCAGCCTTCACTCCCCACGTGCATCAATGAGCCTTGGCCCCCCCACTGACTCTGTCTCCGGTTCTTCCGGTCGTCTAGCCATCACAATTTGGCCCTTGTCAAAGTCGCTCTAATCCTCACGCTGCCCATTTTTCCTGCTTCTAACACATCAACATTGAAGACAAAAAGTTAACTTGCTGCCTAATATAACCCACCCACTAACAGGAGCCATGATAACCAGATAATCAGTGTTATTCACTTCACCTGTCAGTGCTCATTATGGCTGATTGGTAAGAGGTCACAAGTAAAAAGATTAGGAACATCTGCTTTAATCTTTACAAAAATATATTTTGTAAACTTACTGTATATATGTATTTGTAAGTGAAATTTTAATCTGAAAAGTAAGTGACCATTAACTGTAGCTGTCAAATAAATGTAGTGGCGTAAAAAACCAACAAAAACCAACAATGTCCCTCTACAATGTAATGGAGTAGACATATAACATAAATATAACATGAACTGGAGATACTTGAATAAATTCAAAACTGTATTTAAGTATAATGCTTAAGTTACTTTCCACCACAGCTGTGTACTGTTATGTAGTTGGAAATGATGTGTGGAGTACTTTAATCAGTCCACTAGGTGGTGTAACAACCTCAGCAACTGTAAACTGTGGCTCCCGTATTCCCTACATCGCATGAACTTTGACCTTGGGGAGCATTTGTATAAGATAGGAAGAATCAATTTGTTGATTTAGTTTTTATTTGTTAAAAAAAGTTTGTTCTGGTTCTACATGTCCCATGATGCACTCAGAAGTCACCTGTGAACATTACAGTAGGCCAGGTAGAATGCCATGCAGCACTGTGCTAACTCTGGCTTTCATTCACTGAGCAGTGTAATCTGGGGCGCAGGGTTGCCCACCTGGCAGAGTGCATCCCCATGTAGGATGAGTTCTTACTACAGCGGCCTGAGCTCCATTCCAACCCCTTTGCACCCACCCCACCCCACTTTCCTGTCTAGCTTCACCTGTCCTATCAAAATAAAGGCAAAAAAAAATATTGAGTGAAACAAAGTTGAAGGAATGTGATTTATGCAGGGAAAATAAACAAGAGTTTGCTGATGCTATCATGCTGACCTTTTTTTTTTTTTTTTACTTAAACTCACCCTGGATCCTTTTGCATTAGCCACTTCCCCTCTCATTGGATTTTGCTGGTTTAACTCCTCGCCTTGCTGCAGTGATGTACAGGTGGACTCCAGGACCCTGTGACATCACTATTGGCTGTGGTTTACAGGGCACACTTCTGACTTCACACAATGATGCTGGCTGTGGTCAGGGGTGATGGACCTGGTTTTGACTATACTTCAGAACTGAACTAGACTCAGTTTCAACCTCACCAGAGCTAACCAGCAGAGACATGAGATACATTTCCTACAGTTTACTTTCAGCATTAGATGATGGAAAACACAATATTACATTGGAGCCTCTGCTGTCAAATACATCATGCCAAGTAATTCAATGTGCTATTATTAACTCATTCTAAACCAAACAAACTGCTGACACCAAAAGAAAATAATAACCATGTGATAATGATGTGGGTGAGTGTGAGAACCTTATATTTATCTGTGTGGCCAGATTTTAGTTATTGGAGTCTGGAAAAATCACTGATACAGTGATTATTTGTGCAGGTGAAAGTTGGCTTTCCTTGTGTGAAATTGTCATTCCTGTGACTAGTCATATCCAGCGTGATTGATTTATTGGTGAGCTGGTTGACTGTGTGTGCTTAAAGTCACGCTGTACAACAGGTTTAGGTGTACTCTTAGGCCATTTATCCAGATATGACCTTAAAGCTACAGTAGGTAATTTTTATAAGAACAGCTTTTTGTCATATTTGCTGAAAATGTCCCTACTACCCGCTACTGTCGGGCTATAGTGAAAGTTTCATCAAATAATTATCATTAACACTAGCAGGGATAACAAGATCATTGGAACAACAAAAGTCACATAAAAGCTTTAACAAGTGGGGGTTGATGCCAGTGTGTTTTTACTGCATCTATGTGAATGCACATGCATGTGTTAGCGTGACACTGCAGTGTAAGCAATCACATCTCACTGCCTTTAGGGCAAAACAGATCAAATTCAAAGTGACGTGAGAACAAGACGCCTCAAACTTTCTCAACAGCCAACCTAAACAAACACAAAGAGGCAAAGAGGCACACCTGGCCCTGTTCACAAAGTTCAGTGGGCTCAAACTGCTTATACAGTGCTGCTCAAAAGCTTTCTCCAAACAAATGTGCTGTTACTACCCTCTTCCTGAGGCACCATATGGTAAAAACATCATATTGCAATTGGTTCACTAACTTTTGCCCTCATAAAAGTTTACAACGCCTTTTTACTACATAATTGATATTCTCAAACGTATATGGGATTGATAAACATACACCTATTATTTCATATAAGAGATACTGGTTCAGAATAAATAAGAATCCCAGTAACACATTCAGCTGCCCGGTACAACCACTAGGATCTGCTGGCCAGTGAGCAGTGATGTTTATATTAGAACCTTCTAATAACAAGAACTCTCTTTTGGTTTGGGACTATATTTCTGTTAGGGCATGAGAGACACCATTGAACACAACAATTCAGCAATGTTTTTAATTTCTTAACCAGTAATCAATTTACTGTCTGTCTGTCTGTCTGTCTGTCTGCTGTTGGGTTTTCAACATTAATTTTTGCTCCCAGACTTGGACCACATACAGTCACCACTATCAGTGAGTTATCTCATCACCGTCTGTCTGCTGCAGTCTATAATTTGCAAGCTTAAAGGTGGAGAAAGCGATTCTGGAGAAATCCAACACCATGATATAGTGCAAACGACTATGTACAAATGTATGTACAAAAATGTACAATATGTAAGTACAAATCTTACTATAATATATATAAATCTTAACTTATATTCTAAAAACACTGCAGTGTAAATAGTGTAGTAATTATATTTTCATGTTTATCCTATGATGGGGTTCAGGGAGATCTTTAATGTCAGGCTTGTATGTATGATACAATAGCTTTGAAAGGAAAACTAAAGAAAACATTTTTGTTTTTTGCATCATTGGCATGTAAACAAAAAAGCCCACTACTGACTGTACACTGTATGTCAAATTGACTGACTTGGTAAACAAATGATGACAGTATTCAGCATTTCCAAATGTTCTTTTACTAAAAGTAATGACATTTTTATTGCAATCGTAAAAAAAGAAGAAGATGAAAAGATAAAATCACCAAACTACTGCGCCCTCATACAGGTGAAGACAAGTATGTTAATAAATCCAACATAGTTCCTGCGGCTTCTCTTTCAACTTGTTAAACGTGTTCTGTCTAGTAATGATTTTCGTTTCAGCTAAAAGCAAATAAGAACAGATGCCTCTATCACATGTTATTAGATGATCAAATAAAAGATAAGACATTGGGTTGACCCACCACCAAAATTCAAAGCACAGGACTAGAACCAGCTTCACATCAGTGATGTTTGCAATCAGAGCTATAAAATAGGCATTATACAATCATTTTGACTTGACCAAAAACTGACTTTTCTCTGTAACTGAAAATTGATCTCAAATTTATGTTGTCCAAAGTTATGGTTAAAAGTATGGTAAAAAAGTTATAAGGTTTGCTTTAATGTAAAAATATGCCCATCCTCACTAACAAAGACTCTGACCAGTCAAATGACATTCTGCTGTTGGTGTCTCCATTCTAAAAGAGAGAGAAACGGTTTCTAAGCAGCAGTGCTTGGTCTTCTGCCACTCTTGTATATTTGGCATTCTGTGGAATAAAGTAATAACAGACCTGCTGGGGCAGGTTTGACATTAAAGTGATGGCTGCTGTCAACTAGGGTGGCAGAGTTGGTAATTGTCCCCCCCACCCTACAAAACAAGTAGGAAGTTACAACAGTAAAGTATCCTGATGCACGGACTTATGCTTGCTGATGCAGTTCAGTCCGTCTAGATCAGGGGTGTCAAACTGATCCATGAAAGGGCCGGTGTGGCTGCAGGTTTTTATTCCAACCATGCAGCAGCACACCTGACTTGGTTCATTCAATCAATTGAACTGTCTTCACACAGTCATTTCAGGTGTCCTCTTGCTTGATTGGAACAAAAACTTGCAGCCACACCCACCCTTGATTAAAGCGTGGGTGTGGCTGCAGGTTTTTGACGTGTGAAGACAGTTCAGTGCTTTCACACCTGTGGTTGGGTTAATTTGGTCCAGACCAAGGGGAAAATATTACACAATGTTGCATTTAAATTCTGTTCCGGTTTGTGTTCACACGGACTTTTTACAAATGAACCAAGAGGAGTATATATAAAGTTATACAGACTGACAGTTAACTTGTTGATTGGAAAGTCATCCTGCATCATCAGAACCCACGTGGGGAAATTCTGGTGAGTGACACTTTGATGCTTTTAAAGTGTACATTATGACACAAAGACCTCATGAAGAAATGACTGATTCAGCATTATTACATGCGTACGTGTTGCCATGGTAACCAAATTATTAGTATAAATATGTACATGGCTCATACAGGATTGTTGTTGTTAAGATTGTTTCCTGAACAGATTTGGATGATCTCGCCTGCTTGTTATGTCTCGCATCCAAGTGTGATTGCTGTGTTCACATATGCTCAAGCAAACTGATCTCTAGGTGGAAACGCTCCCAGCCAGGTGCTTACCACTTCCACATTGTATAGGGAAACTGTGTATCTATATAACCCAGCTTCAAACGGAGAACAATCACTGTTGCTTACACTTTCCAGAGGGGCTTTTTAGACTCTTGTCCTTTTTACCCTTTCTGGCTTTGTTCCGAGCAGTTTGGCTGATAACTGTCTGAAGCTCTGCAGGACTCACTTGACTACCACTTGCCTCAACCTCTATAAAACCAGCTTCCCCCACAGTGTCTGGGCCTATCTCTGCTGCTTCTCCAGTCATATGCACGCTCTCATTCTGAATAAGGTAACCAGCCTCCTCAGCTACCTCACTTCTTGCAAGAAAATTTGCAGCTCCTGTCTCTGCTAAGGCTGGGTCTGTTTCCAAAACAGTGGTCTTTTGACCAGATGCATAATCTATTCGATCCATAATCTCTAGGTCAGAAGTGGCTTCTGCTTTGCCTTTTTCCAAATTAAGTACTTCTGTGCTCTGGTAATCAGACTGAGTGGTTTCACCCTCAGCTACTTGTCCAGATGCCAATATGTTACCACTGGCCCCTTTGTCTTGACTTGACACAGAAACCTGTCCTATGGCCACCCTGGATGATATCAGTTCCTCTGAAGATGTGACCACATCGTCCAAACCCATCATGTTAGCACCCCTCACTAACTCTTGACCAACAGTATCTTGTCCCTCATTAATATCCAGAGTTATGTCACCTATCTGAGAAGATTCTATCCCTTGCCTTACTTGATGTGTAGTAACGTCATATGGCATTTCTTGAATTTCAGTCACCTTTGACATTGCTGCCACCTGATTCATCTCCAAACATTCAGTCTCTAAAGACTGAGAGTCCTCTTGTAACATCCAGTAAGACTTAATGCCTTCTTCTTCTATGTGAGAACTTCTGCCTGATGTGTCTCCTTTTGCTCTTTTAACATCTTGGTCATCTGGGACTCTTATATTTAGCTGTGAAGGTGACGTTACTATATCTTCCTTTTCTCCATCATGTATGTTATCTGAGCACATGAGATAATCCCGTGACTGAGGACTTGTTCCTAGTGCATCTTCTCTTTTGTTTTCTTCATCTTGGTCATCTGAAATGCTACTTTTTTGCTGCTTAGACAACTCATCTTTCTCTCCATCACTTACACTGTCATCTGAGATGAGCTTATCCTCCATGTGATCATCTTCACTAGAGATGCTAGTCGTTTGCTGAACAGTTAATATCTCTTCCTCCACAATATGCTCTTCTTTCACTCCATCTCTTATGTTGTCCTGTAAGATAAGCTGATCCTCCAATGGAGGACCTCTTCCTGATGCAGCTTCTCTTTCAATCTCTGCATCTTGGTCATCTGTGATGGAAACATTTAGCTGTAAGGATAATTCTACTACCTCCACATTCTCCTCCTCGTTAACTGAGATTAAGGTCCCATCAATTTGAGGGCTTGTGTCTGATAAATCTTCTTTTGCACTGTCTTCATCTTGGCCATCTGAGAAGCCTATATCTTGCTGTACAGGTGACACCTCTTCCTCGACAATATACTCCTCTTTCGCTCCATCTCTTATGTTGTCTTCTGAAATGAGCTGATCATCCAGTGGAAGACTTCTTCCTGATGCAGCTTCTCTTTCAATCTCTTCATCTTGGTCGTCTGCGATGCTAATATTTTGATGTGTGGATAATTCCACTACCTCTGCAATATCCTCCTCGTTATCTGAGATTAAGGTCCCATCAATTTCAGGACTGGCACATGATGTATCTTCTTTTCCACTCTCTTTGTCTTGGTCATCTGAGAAGTCTATATCTTGCTGTACAGGTGATACCTCTTCCTCCACAGTATCCTCTTTTTTCACCCCATCTCTTATGTTGTCTTCTGAGATGAGTTGATCCTCCAATGGAGAACTTCTACCTGATGCAGCTTCTCTTTCAATCTTTTCATCTTGGTCATCTGTGATGCGAACATTTTGCTGTACGGATAATGCCATTACCTCTACATTCTCCTCCTCGTTATCTGAGATTAAGGTCCCATCCACTTGAGAACTCATATGTAATGCATATTCCTTTGCACTCTCTTGCATATCTTGCTGTACCAGTGACAACATTTCCTCCACAGGAGCCTCATCTTTCTCTTCATCAGTATTGCTGTCATCTGAGATGAACTTATCCTCCATTTGAGAACTTGTGCTAAATGCATCTTGTCTTTCAGTGTCTTCATCTTGGTCATCAGAGGTGCCGAATCTCTGTGACACTCCTTCCTCCACAATTATCTCCTCTGTCTCTCTATTGCTTATACTGTCTCCATCTGATTCGACTTTATCATTGTCTACTTCTGAGCCTGCTGTTATATTTTGTCGATTATCATCATCTTTTTTGTGAACAGAGTCTTTTGCTGTATGTAGACGTTGCTCTAATGTTGAAATGGTTGGCACATTAGAGGTCTCTACTTGTGCTAGTATAATTTCTTCTAACGCTGGTCTCAAATTTGGATCATCCAGATCTCTCTCATCTTGGTTGGTTAAAACAGTGCTCACAGTCTCCAATGTTGTTTTTGCTTCAGCATCAGCAATATCTGTCTTTGCATGGGATCTGTCTATCATATCCCCTTCACTATGATTCACCTGTAATTCTGGCATTGTTTCTTGATCAGGAAATGACCTCTCTTTAAACTCATTCACAGTATCTGTTAAAAGCTCATTTGCAGAAGTTGCTGACAATTTATCACCCACAGTATTGAGTCCCACTTCAGAATGTAACAGTTGCTCCTGCTCAGCCTTAACCTCTTCATGCGCATTACTGGTGAGAGTAGTCATTTCCTTTAAATTATCTGCTGTCTGGATACTATCAGAAGTGGCAACAAACTGATTTGTTTCTGAGTCTGAAGCAACTTTCTTTGCTAGACTGACAGCTTCATTGAACTCCCTTCCACTTTGATCCTCTGCGACTTCATTTGATAGAGATTCTAACCCAACCTCAGAACTTCTGTCCTCTGGACCTTCAACTGCACTGAGCTGGACAGGTTTCTCTTCTTCTTGCACTTCTTTGTCTTTCAATTGTGCCGCTTCCTGTATCCCCACAATTTCTCCTGTGTTGTCATGTATTTGATCGTCTACACTGCTGATGTAGTCTGAACCAGAAGGGGCTTCCTCTCCTTGAGAAAATGCTAATGTCTCTTCATTCTCTTTGTCTGTATTAACTAAATCAGTGACATCTGATCCATGTAGGAAATCTTCAGTGGATGACATTTTAATGACCAAAGATGTAACTGCCTCGGAAAAACCTTCAGAGGGAACATGGTTTTCCTGCTGCTCTGATTGTGGAGCCTTAGCTTTTTCCTCTGCGTTCTCTTGTGGCTCATCGGATTCTGTCAACTGATCCAGCACTATTTTGTCCATTTTATCTCCTGGGTTCTCTGTCACTGTGTCAGATTGCTCAAATGATGTCTGCAGTACATCTGACACTGGTAATGATTTCACAATGTCTTCTTCAAAATTTACAGTTGAATATTTTTCTGATTTTTGTGTTGGATACTCTTGGATACCCTCATTGTCTTCAAATGCACTTTGGACCACCTCACTAGGATCCGCATCATTTAATATTACATGTTGCTCTGATGTGTAGGTGATTACAACTTCTGATTGCTTTTCTTCAACTGTATCATCATGTATGTTCTGAGCTGAATCACTGACATCCATGAACCAGTTTTTCATCATAACCTCCTCCTTTGGAGGCGGATGAGTTTTAGTGGTTTCAGCAGTAACAAAGGCATTGACATTGGTCTTATCTTCCTTTGGTGAATCAATTCTCCATGCTTTTTGAATACCACTGGCATTCACAGTTTGTTCCAATGGAGTAATTCCTTGGAACTGGTTTACACTGACCTGCCTAATACCAACTGGACTTATTCCAGCTGGCCAAATTCCAGCCTGTCTTACATCTGACTTCACTGCCACCACATGTCCCATTCCCATTTGTGGCTGCCCAACACCACCTCCCAAAACAGTGACCGGCCCTAACCCCATCTGCCCAGGTTGCCCAACCCATGTTTGCCCCAAATTTCTATTTACTGCAACAACATCCCCCTTTTTAGCAAAAGTGTGTCCTGGCAGAACAGCATACACACTCCCCTGGGCTGCTGGGCCGAAAACCCCCTGAGGGGGAGCAGCCTCTTTTACCAGGATAGCACCTCTGGGCAAAGTGCCCTGAAGTGAGCCTGGATCCACCCCCTCTGCCTCTCCTGGACTACTCTTATCCTTAACTAACATATAATTACCATTAGGATTTGGCCCTATGATTTTCCAGCCATCCGCAGGGACTGAGCCCTGAGACACACCTGGGCTCACAGGTAGCAACAGGTTGGGGCTGACTAGACTGGTGGGGCTGGCAGGGGTTTTGGAGCTCTCTGTGTTCTGGATAACTAGCCCAGAAGGAGAGCCTGTTGGTCCACTTATTACGAGTCCAGAAGAAGGACTCTGGGGTCCACTGATTACAAGTCCAGAAGAAGGATTCTGGGGCCCACTGACTACATAGAAGCCTGGGAAATTGGCTCCATGGGTCCCATCTGACAGAAGAACTGTGTTCTGTAGCTGTGGTTGAACTACATAGTGCATGGGCTGTAGTACAGGTCTGGTAGTATAGTAAACTGGCTGCTGCTTTAGTACCAATGTCTGAGCTTGACGGGGCAGAGTAGCAGACTGAATGATGTCAGAGGAATGACTGATGTTAGTACCCTTGGAGAGAGGAAGTGTCATGGAAGGCAAGGCAGTGCTTACAGTGCTGATGGATGATTTTGAGATGTTAGTAGATGACATGACTTTCTCTGTCTTAACATCAGTAGGTTTTGTCTCACTTTTCTCTATTTTGGGCTTAACAACCGGTTTAACAATATCAACTGTGGTTTTGACAGCACCTGCTACTTTGGGTGTTGGTGTAGGAGGGGAACAGATCTCAGCCAGAGTCTTGAACTTTGGCCCGAGTTCATTGAGGAACTGCAGGTTGTTGTCAGACTCCAGAAGGCTGCAGCAGCCCACTGAGCCAGCAGGAGAGCACTGGCCCTCAAAATCATATTCCAATAGACCGTCCTTTACTGGTGCTGCACACTCTGCTTTCTGTTAAAGGAAAAGAAATAGCACAAATACTGGTCAATAAACTATGAACACTGGGCTGTTGAAAAACCAGCTGCATGAAAAGTTAGCATGGTACCTGTGAGTAGTATTCATTGAGGAAAGCATCAGGTAGGGCTATATCCTCATACAAAGCTGTCCTGGTTTGCACGCCAAGTGTTTGCTTGCCGAATCTTGCGGTGCCTCTACCACGGTTGAATGATTCCCTTGAAAGCCTGTAGGCATTATCGACCGCCATGAAACTTTGGCTGGTTTCCTGAAACTTCTGCACAGATTCATTGTAGACTGCAGTCGTCTGATGAGTTTCTGAGATTTTTGAAGGAAGGGTGTTGAAGTTTGGTACTGATGCCATCTCAACTTTCTTTTGGGTACCCAACATGATAGGGATGCTGAGAAGTGGCACTTCCTAAAAACAGAACAGAAGAAATCAGATGTTACCAATTAACACATTTTATGTATGATTTTAACTTGGCAATGCGGCTTTGTCACATGTGCTTTTTTAACCCACAACTAGCAAGCTTTCAACAGCAAGGGATGTCATACATTTTAAAAAGCACAGGCTTCATAAACAAGCTAATAAGGTAATAGGTACTTAAAAGATATGATGACTAATCAGATTTTAAAATTGGTGTGGACAGGTTGAACCCTCCATGTTTGTCCTTAGGTGGATCCAATATCTGCTCCTGGAGTAGCTCATATGATGTCCCAGAGACACACCATACTGCCTTTGACCACCTTTCCTCTCTAATATCTCAGTTTATACACAGACATTCACTTTTAACAATAAAGGACACAAAAATGTCAGCCAACCTTATCCTCGCCTTTGCCTTCAGTGTGGTAAGATATGAGGTGTTCTTTGACATCAAATGGCAGATCGCTAAATTGGTCAGGAAAGATGGTGTCTGCTCCTCCACACTGGCAGAAGAGCAGGAAAAGAGGGATGACTGCAGACAGAAGCAAAACAATCAGCTCAATGTACAGTTTTGTTAGTGTTTTAACAGTGACGAGAATGAATACTACCTTTAAGAATCCTCTAATGCTACATTTGTGTTGAGTCAGAGAGGTAATGACTAATAAGCTATTCTTATTAGAGGCACTTCTTAATATGATTAAGCCCAACACACCACCACTGATATCCTGTCCCATTTATGACTGTTAATCGGGTGTCAGTTATTTTTCACAATAACACTGTAATGTAGTACGCAATGGTTTCATTTTCAGTTCACTTCTTGGCCTGCTAAAATCTACCATTATACTTAAATGCATACAACTGATAATTGCTATACTGAATTAAAACCACCATGAATATGTATTAATGAAAAGGCTTTCTTGCCTAATGCAAAGAGGTCTCTGTCATACACAGTATAGTTGGAAATGTAGTATACCTTTAGCAACTTTTGTGTAGGCCAGTAGCAACCAGTGTTAATTCCGTTGACGAAGACTATGACGAAAAATATTCGTCAACAAACCTTTTTCACGGACGAAAAACTAAATAAAAGTCAGATTTGATGACAAAGACTGTGACGAAATATAACTGACACTTAAGTCAACGAAAAAAAATGAGACGGAAATGTTAGGGAGGGATTTTAAAAAGCCACGGCAAATGCAGGTGCAACAGCTAAACGAGTTTGCAGAACTTCGCACAGTTTCGAGGACGTTTTCACAACAGTTAGGTTGTTTACATTATATTTAGTTGTGTTTAGTTGCACAGTCTTAGTTACACAGCTTTGGCTGATTTCAGTTGACTTCGCTCATTAACAACACGCTGCAGTGCACCCGGTCCGAGGGCAATGTCTCATGATAAACAGGAATGTCAGAGCTAGGTCTAGGACGAAAACGAAGAATTGACATCTGGTCACACTTCACATCTGACAACAAGGACAACAAGACCGTCTGTAAACTGTGTGGAGCAAAAATCGCTGGGAAAAACACCACCAACTTTAGGTGACATTTATAGACGACTCATCCAGAAATACATGCGAAGGTTAGCATATACACTAAGGTTATTTTATCAGATAAACCACCGTGATTTAGTCGACTAAAATCTGCTAATATTTGGTCAACTAAAACTAGACTAAGACTAAAGAAAGAAAAAAAACTCTTATGATATTTAGCGACTAAAACAACAAAACAAAAGATTTCAGATGACTAAAATATGACTAAAACTAAATGGTGTGTTATTCAAAAGACTAAGACTAAATCAGAATTTGCTGTCAAAATTAACACTGGTAGCAACTCAACTTAGAAATTAATCAATTGAAAAACAAACATATATTTGATTTAAAAGAAAGTTTATGTCCATATCATGAGATAATAATGTGTACCAATGTGTTAAAGCTCAACTCACACAGCAGCAAGCACATTGCCATTAGCAGCAGGCCAATGGCTGGGGCAGAGAGCTCCGTTGAAGTAGTTACTAGTTTGGCTGCCCTCGAGCCACAGTCCTCTGTTTCCACACAGGTACAAACATCCACAGTAAAAACCTCATTGACTGGGCAGGACAGACCCTGGACATCCAACACCTCCACCTGCAGCTTGTACGAGCCAGGCCACAGCGTCTCACGTGAGTGAAGAGCAGCACTCGTGTCTGAGGACAATAAAGGATAGATGGCTGTCAAACTCACACTGCATTATCATTATTGCTATTAGTTGTAACTTTAGCAGTAATGTTAGTATTACTGCAACACTACTACTAATTCCACTAATGTATGCTACCATGGCACATCAAGTAGAACATGAAGTCCTTATATTGAATGTATATGTCATGTTTTAAAGTTAATTGAGTCAAATTTTAGTGGCACACTTTTCCAATTTTCTTTGTATATTCAAATCCAAAATCTTTAAACTCAAACTCTGATTTAAAGGTCCTGTTGGCAGAAACTGAATATAATATTAAGAGGTATGTTTTCATTTGTAAACAATCAACTGAAAATAAGAATCATTGTGTTTTTGTTACATTTGAATAAGCTGTTTTTAGTGGGTACTCTTCTACAGTGTCTGCCTAAATTTCTACAGTATAGCCCAGAGCAGACAAACTAAACACTAGCTCTCGACACACTGGTAATTTTATGGGAGTTAAGTAACTACTTCTATTTAACTTGAATTTGAAGATCTGAATTTGGAATTGGTAACACTATTAGTTGCTCATACCTTAACATAGCTTACTTACTTGAGTTTTTCTAGCACTTAATGTTTCTCAGTATAGGCAGTGATCATTTACACTGCAACATTTACACTTGCTGAAAAGGAAATTATCATGTCACTAATGCAAGAGGAAAGAAAATAGTTTGTTTTTAAACCTAACCACTTAGCACATTTTCCTACCATTGATGGGTTCTACGTCCCAGCTGCCTCGCGTTCCATCAGGTATGATTTTGAATGTGAATGGTGCAGCATTGGGGTTAACATCTTCATCAAAGCCAGTAACATAAACAGTTTTTCCATCAGAGCACAGGCTGCTGTGAGTGCTGGTCAAGGTGGGACAATGGTCGTTGGAGTCAGCCACTTGAATGGCTATTGTTCCTGTGGCTGTCTTTGATGGCACGTCTGAGGATGACAACAGCTTAGATAGTCAAACAGCACACAGACTGTATGGCATCACCACAAATTAAACTTTACACAAAATGATTTGACTCGAACATAAGTCTTGAACGTTGCCTAAACTAACTGCTCTTTATGCGTTTGAAGCAAATGTATATGACGTTTCTTTTCTGAGAACATTGCTGTACACATCTAATAATCCTCTATAAATATTTTTTTGGTAAAAATGTGAAAGTGTTTTCTCCTCATAGTTTATCTGGAGGTCTGTGAAAACCAGCATGGATGTACATTATTTGACGCCTGGGCTTCTTCTCGTTATTTGGCTGACACACCTTGAGTCACAGAGATCAGTGTGCTTCAGAGAAGAAAAATGTTAATTAATTAGAGCATCTTTCAGCAGCAAAGGCGATGGCTGTTCAAATAGAACTTTATCAAGAGGGAAGAAATTAAGCCCTATTATTGAGAATGGGTTTACAAGATGGTGGAGGTGGGTGTGGTTTACAATCAGCTGCAGGAGAGAGAGGTGTGGGGAAGGCTTGTGAGAGCAGCGCCAGGTGAGTTGATTATCTCAGCTGCTACTCATTCACACTCACCTCTCTTCATGCACTAGTGTGCTGGACCTGGGAGGCCAGACACACAACAGGAGACACAACCGGAGCAGACTGTCGTGGACTTTTGAAGCAGGCTACGTTTTGTAATAATAGTGTGTGCAGCTGACAAAGGAATAAAGTTATCTGTTCATTGATATCTGTTGTTGGATTGTGTGCTGAGTGTAGTAGTCCTCAGTAGTAGCGAGACTTGCTATGCAGATTATATGGTACACTATTATAAAGTAACAATTATTAAGTCAAATTATACAGATTAGAAAGTACAAAAGGTATTACCTTTGGTTATGGCCAGAATCTTGGCAATGTAGGTGCCGTTCACCAAGAACGTTGACTCTCTGTCTGGTTTCTTGTTGAGTTTAATCTCAGCTGTCTCTTCATCGATGGTAAACCAGTTATCTGGATCATAGGCTTTGGCATAACTAGACAACAATAGATATGTAAGAAAAGGCGCAAAAACATTAAGAAAAGTAATAAGTGAGAGAAAGGTGTTTAACCAAAAGTAGTGATTTGGTTGAAGTAATAGTTCAACGTCTGGAGAGAGAAACACTTCCCCAGTGAGAATATTGTTAGTACTTTAATGTCTGTGTAAGTATATAGCTGAAGTTTGTCATTCTTTTGTGCCAGCAGTAGTGATATACTGCGCTTAGTTTCGACTCCCCATATAACAGGAAACAATGGCTGACCTGGCCTCACACGTTCTGTGTTTTTTACGTTTTTAGGTGAGAAATTATCAATGTAGTTGATCAGCACTGTCTAGTTTGACAGTTTGATCTGAGTTTGGTGTGTGGAGCTGGAGGGGCTCACTGAGAATAACTTGTCAATCACAAGGTAGCCCCGCCCTGAAGCATACCCTGCTTTATGGTCTATTTTACTCTAAATGGGACCATAATTACTAAATGAACGTCATGCTGTTTGGAAGAAGATTGAAACTAGAGATTGAGACCATAAACTCATTAGGAAACTGTTTAAGTATCAAAAAATAAGTAATTTCTCTATAAGACTCAATACTATCAGACTTCTTTTTTGCAGTCCATGAAGCTGCCCCTTGCTGACCCTTAGAAAGAATGCAGGTTTAAGATATTTTTGTGTGGGCTTCACAGACCCAGAAGCTCTGTTCACTTATTATATTCTGTCAGTAGTTAATGCTCAGTAATTAACACAATGTATCTTATTTCCCCACCTTCCAGTCTTAATGCTAAGCTTATCGCTTAATCGCAGACATATATACATATATTTTACAAATTGTTGAACTATTCAATATTTTATTGTTGCCATATTTGTCACACTGTTGGCATTGCTCTAGGTATAGCAAGATCATTTGGTAAGTCAACCACTTTGGTCCAGACTAATATCTCTGCAACTATTAAATCAACTGTCATGATTGTTTAAAGTTCTGTTAAATGCAGCTTGACTAACCTGACATCTTCCGCTTGTTTCCCTGTGTCTGGATCGACGGCAGCAAACACTGTGATCACACCATCCTCAGGTTGTTCCTTTGGATCCTCTGATACTGGAACATGCTTGATGTCAGGAATAAATGCTGGACCTTCAGGCATATTATTCACTGCTATCTTAATGGGATAGCTTTTCTTCGGTGCCCCTGGCTTTGGCTTTGTCCCTGGTCCTGGTTTGACACTTGGTTTAAGGCCAACCCCAACTCCAGGGCCAGGGCCGAGCCCTGCCTCAGGCTTAAGTCCGGCATCCAACCCCACATCTACACCTAAATCCACTCCTGTATCCAACCCTACATCTACACCTAAATCCACTCCTGCTCCAGCTCCAGCTCCAGCTCCGGCTCCGGCTCCGGCTCCGGCTCCCGCAGCAGCTCCTGCAGCAGCTCCAGTAGCCAGAGGATTACCCTCTCCAACCAGAAGGTCCACATCCATGAGTATAGGACCACCCTCCTCAAAAGGAGCTACATTCTCAATGAGCAGGCCAAGCTGAAGATTCTGAACCTCTTCAAAATCCAGAGGCTGTTTGGTACGGGATCGAAGGTAAGAAGTTGAGAGAGGGGACAGCAAGAGACAAGCAGCAAACAAATGTTAGGGACCTACCTGATACAGGTTGCAATACTATCATATTTAAAGCCAAATCACAAGTCTAAATACCTTAATCAGCTTCAGGATGCCCTCATTGGTGTCTTTGTCTGTCTCAATCGAGAAGACATTATCCTCATTTCCTTTGGCGATTGTAAAGACAGTGAGCCAGTTGTCTGTGTGTATGAGGTCTTTGTCCAGAGCTTTGATCCTCATCACAACTACATTGTCAACATTTTCATCCACTGAGCCAGTGTACTGTAAACAGAACAAGAATGCCCATAGTTAAAAAGTCCTACTGCCAGTTGTCTGCATCGGTTCTACATTCTTCTGTAAATACAACTTATCAAAGATGGAAATAAACAACATAACATCCAGTGGAAGAGGTCAAAGGTCATAGAGCAGGACTTAGTGGATGGTTGGAGAGAGTTTTAAGGAGGCCAGATGATGATTATGATTTCTCCCCCTATACGACCACCTGTTACCAGAATCACTTTTTTATTGCCCAGGTGTGTGTACTCATACAATGAATTTGTACTAATTATCATGTGATCTAAGTCACATGATAACACCTGAGCTGGCTTCATTTACATGGCCATTAGAGAAGCAGTGGAAAGCTCAGACAGTTAGTTAATGGACCTTTGTCATCTATTTACAGGTCCCATTATTGATAATAGGTATATTGAAGATGGGGTAAGTGATTCTGGAGAAATCCGATAGCATGACAAATAACCATAATATAGTGCAAACAATGTAAGTAATGTTTTTTTTTAAATATAATTTTTTTGGCCTTTATTTGACAGAGACAGCTGGAGAGAGACAGGAAAGGGGGGCAGAGAGAGAGGGGATGACATGCAGCAAAGGGCCGCAGGTTGGACCCGGGCCGCTGCGTATATGGGTCAACAGCTCTACTGACTGAGCTAATCGGGCGCCCTAATGTTAGCTATGTTGTGGCTTTACATACTGTCACTAAAGTTGCAACTGTGAACATGCAAAGAAGATTAGACCATTTAAGCACATCTTGGCAAACTAGAGAGTAGTCTTGAATGTCTGTGGACATGTGATTTAACATTACCTGACACACATTCCTTGGCTGGTATAATAACTTGTGTGGTTTGCTACAATCTAGTTTGTTTGTTTCCCATTTACTGAGCCAGGGCTGTGTGCAACCACCAGATTTTTTATCAGTGGGTGCACGGACCATGAGAAGATATTTGAAAAGAAGTCAGATTGGAGTCTCATTATCTAAAATCACTATCCTGAAACAATTACCCTGCTGCGAGATAAAGGAAATAAGCACAAGTTGATTTATGTTTCCACTCTTCCCTGTCTTATTTCCTGATTTAGGTTCCTGAACTGTGACTGCAGTGTGTGTGTGTGTGTATATGCTATATTCCCCACCTCAGCCTGTTCCAGAGTGGGGATGTTGTCATTGATGTCCACGACCTTGATCTCCACAGTTCCTGTCCCTGATAGCCCCTGTGCTGCCCCTCCCAGATCAACCCCCCGTATAACCAGTTTGTAGAAGTCATGAGTCTGTCGGACGAAAAACACAACAAACCAAAATGTGTTGACAAAGGCTCATTAGGTGAGGTGTCAGTCAATTTCAACAACTTTGAATTTGAGTTTAAAAGAACATTTTGCTCCAAAACAAAGTCATAGTTCAAATTGTGTAAAAAGTGTGCACCTCTCTGTCCAGGGTGGCCTCCTTGACGTACATTTTGCCTGTCTTTTGGTCTAAAGTGAACATGTGACCTGTGCCTGCTGGCTCTTGACTGATGATGCTGTAGGATATCTCTGAATTTTTTGTGCCATCTTGGTCATCATCTTTCCCCACAATCTGCATGACAAAGGTTCCTGCAGTGGACCACAACAGGACAAGAGTGTCTCATTAAAATCCATCAAGTAAGACAGTTAGGGTTAGGGTAAGGGTTAGCCCTAGTGGAACACACCCATAACTTAGATCATATGCTTTGTAAATCAACCATCTTGGATCCCTTTAGGGTTTGGAACTGTTTTATCATAAATGCGTCACAACTTTCTGTGGAAAGGTTGCCTGTTGTTTTTGTCCCTGGCCTTCAGAGAGCACACTACTGTAGCAGTCTGATTGAGAAAATATTTCAAGTCTGGCAGTACCTTCTTTGCTTGCCTCTGTGACGTTGCCAGTATGCAGTTCAAAATAAGGAGCATTGTCATTCTGGTCCAGGATTGTGACAGTGAGCGGGATGTCGTACTCAGCTGTGGTCCCATTCAAGTATTTGGCGACCCCTGTTATCTGTATGAATTACATGACGAGATTGGACAGGGTTAGACAGTTTACTATTGACCTTTACAATGTAAAGAAGTAATACAGCAACCCAGTTATGCATTAATGGAATTTTGACTCATCTCAATTGAGTGTCCCCTTACTAGATTTTCGCCAAAACTTTCAGCCACATGAGACTCCTCTAAACTCTTCTAGGGGGTTAGCATATGAGCAGGTATAGTTGTAAGTTTAGGTCAGTTACCACTGAATCTGGAGTCTCAACAGAGATTAAACCTAGATCATTTTCATTGCCAGAATGTGTAACCAAAAGTTGCACCCTAAGCAAGCTTTGCTTTGAAAGTGTAACTGGATGTTGCTTGCCTGCAGAATGAGAACATGTTATAAATGTGACACTGCCACGCCCAGGTGAGGCATAACATGACACTGCAACTGTGGACCAACATGTGTATTACACGCTTTGGCATGATACCGGGTTGTAAGATCTGCAAAATATGTGTGAGCGGAAGCTTAGTGACTTTCAATAAAGCCTTGTGACTGAAGGAAACATAGCTGTGTTACTGAACTGAACCCATTTTTCCAATAGTCTTGAGCAGGTTTCAGTCCATACAGTACAGTGTAAAGAATGTAACATATTGAAAGACTTACATTGAATGATGGATATGTCTCCCGGTCCACTTTATCAGTGATGCGTACGAACCCAGTGTTATGGTCCACCATAAACAGATTGAAGGGTGGCTTGTCAGCTCCTGGTCCAGTGAGATAATACTCAACCTTTGCGTATTGGTCTTTATCAGAGCGAATCTGAGAACAAAACACAGGCAGAGAATTAAATTTGTGAACACTGTTATTGTTATTTTAATGATTGAGTTATGTTTCTTTTCATGGAAATGCTATATATGCCATTTATTCCCAACCACATAATGTATTTCCACATACCACACACGTATTAATATGTTATGGCTACTGCTCAATTAGCACCATAAAAACCTCTTCAGTCGTTGCTATGGAGCAGACGCCAACTGCAGCAAAAATCCTTCATTATTCCACTCAGGATGAAACCCAGGAAAGCAAAAACTGATCTTGATTGTTACTTGCTTTATTTTTATGCTAGCTTGATTCTTACTCTTGTATTACTTCTCCACTTTTGTATCGCAATTGTTGCACAGCAATTTCCCTCGGGGTAAATAAAGCTTCTTGAATCTTGACTAAAATACAAAGTGTCCTATGAAACCTTGAAATTCAGTCCACTTTCAGCAGTACAGGAAGTTTTAGCTCACTGACATTTGTAGTGACAAGACAGCTAATTGACAACCCGATTTCCCTCCAAAGACAATGTCTCAGTCTTCTCATCTAACTCTTAAAAACATCAAATTATTAGTTTCTTCTTTAAAACAACAAAGGTTATGGCTCGCTGGCCTGACTACAGCAGAACGGCTGCCACCCCACAAACTCTACACTAGGAAATGGTTAAATATTCTCAAGATGTGGTTATGTGTCTATGGCCTGGGTAAACAAAACCAAGACCACTGCGTTGGAATTGTGGAAGGGGGCTGCCTTTCTAATAACATACCTACTTAGGACTTCAGGGGTCAGCAGCCTTTATATTTAAAATAGCCATTTTTGACCCAAAAACCCCATCTGTCTGGAGCTTATTTGAGCCTTATAATCAAAACCTAATTGTGACATCCTGAGTTCTTAAGAAATGTTATTAACAGGCTCCTACTTAAGGGCTGGGGGAGGGGTGCAGTGCACTGTGTTCATGGTACACCCAACTTCTTATCTCAATCTTCATATTTTCTTACCAGGCTAAAATGAGTTTTATTTGGAACGTTCACAAAGTTAAAACAGCACTTCTCTCGCAGTGTATGTCAGCCTTTATCCCAGGGCCAAATTTCCTATAATTGCGCAACTGAGGTGTGGAACTGAAGCGGTCTTTCTCCAACAAGTGGAAATGGGTTTGTCAATGCAGGCTTGGTGGAAGACCAGCCAATGATCAGGCAGAAACAAGTTTGTTGTTTGACATTTACTTGGAAGCTCATCCATCCAGGTACAGTTTTCTTATCATACTATGATGCCATCATATGCTTATAGTGGGAAATAACATTTACTTAAATCACCTTGGCAATGAATTCCCTCTTTGTGTAGTCAACATTTTCTTCAATCTTGGCAGGTGGAAGGATCCACTCTCTCTTCTTCCTCCTCAGGGTCTTTAGCCTCTTCTGCTTTGCCTCAGCACTGAGCATCTGAAACAGCAGACGTACACTTGAGTTAGCTTTAATGGAGCCTGTAATAAGCAGTACAGTGTGGAGTATGTGTACTCTATATGTACTTTAGAGACCAAATGCCAGCATAGTCTCCGGAAAACATGTTCCACACTGAAATAAAGGAAAAACTAGTAGGTTCCTGAAATGTATGTAAATATACTATTACTGAATTAGTGTCACTGATTAGATGGAAGTCAATCTATGGATTAGAATACATGCTGTGGTGTTACTCATCAACCATAGAGAGAGTCGAATAGAAGCATATTCTAGGAAGTACCCCTTTAAAATATAGGTATTTCTCAGCCAACATATATATGTGGGCCCCACATGGGTTATGCTGGGCTACATGGGAACCAAGTGGGTATGGGCCCAAAATGAGCATCTTATCTGGCCCCACCTAACACCCAGTGTAATCCTGCATTGTACTGTACTTAGAAAACATGAACGGTCCTATCTAGAGCCATTGTTTGGTTTTTATAGCATATCATGTACACGCAAAGTTTCAAATATATATCATGAACACATTAAAGCTGCAGTAGGTATTAAAGAATAACTTTCATATCTGCTGAATCTTTCACTATATCCTGACAGTAGAACATATGGATAATCTGTGAAAAAATCTGGTTCCTCTGGCTCCTCCTAGTGTTCCTAATGGCATTTGCAAGAATCCACCGGGCCTGAACAGAAACCACCAATCAGAGGTGAAAAAGAGGGGGGATTGTTGAGTCTCATTCCTAATGGGTCAAATGGGACTCTGAGAATGAGACTTTCTTCAAGCCTCCAACCCAAAGCGTCTTTCTATCTTTCTCAGCTCTGATTGGCTTGTTCTACCACTGACAATGGCACCTGAACGAAAACAACCAGAGGAACCTGATTTTTTTCACACAGTGTCTCATATACTACTGTCAGAACACAAATTCCAGCGCTAATGACAAAAGGTTATTTTTAAGTTACTTACTGCAGCTTTAAGTACAATATTACTATATCGAAAATATCTTTAGCCTTTAAGTAGACTAATCATGAGTGTACATACAATAAAGTGTAATCTTGTGTGGTCTTGTTGAAGAGTGTGTGTGCTCTTTAAGGAAAAGAGAAAAAGGGGCCAGTGTGAGGTGTGGTCCGACTCCCGAACGATGACATGAATTAGTAGCAGACACAGACTGTGAAAAATGACTGGCATTCAGCACCTGTACACACTGTGATAATAAAACTGTGTTCCTGTGCCAGCACAAGGAACAGGTGAGAGCTGGGCCCCTTGGCACGATTCCTTGGCTGTGTGGTGACAGTTTGATGTGTGTGTGTGTGTGTGTGTGTGTGTGTGCGCGCGCTCATATCACTAGAACCCTGACATCTTTAAGCTGTTGTTGTTGTTGGAGCTGCTTATGCTGTCATGTTCAACAGTCGGAGTCTCTATTGACAGCAGTAAAATGGTGCAATCAGTGGATAATGGCCAAATACAATATGTTCAACCAGGTAGTAAATGTTTTATTAGTTGCTTCATTTAACCACTGCATGGGTGTGGTGATTGGATGTGGATGAAGTTGGTAGTGTGGAAGACTGAGGACTGTCAAATAACCCTGTATACCTGGAGAATAAACTGAATAAAGTGCAACTAAAGCAAGGAGGATACGCTATACAAAACAGTGAAAAAATGTACAAATGTACTTCAAACTGTAACTACATTGGTGGCAACGGCATTATCATGTACTGATGAGACTCTGTGTGCTCCAATGGAATTTGCGTTACGGTTAGCGTTAACACTTATAGCCTGCAGGCGCTGGGAAGGGTCCTTTTCAACATCACTATCAACCCTTGTGTTCTCTGATATTTTTGAATCTTACCAAGGAACCAGCATGATCATTATTGCACAATCATGTCAGTGAGAAAGGCACTGGCTAAAATGTACCAGCAGACAATAACCCAGCTAATTCTCGCCAGTAGCGATGTGGTACAGCCAAGCGGCAATCTCCTGGACTGACAAATGAAGCCAGTGCAGAATGGCTAAAAACTGCTGCCACTTGAGGCTGTCAGTCCTTATAAAAACCTCTGTGTTAAAATCCCTGTTTTTTTCCATTTTTTTTTTCCAAGACAAAAAAACCATGGTATTTCTGCCTCTACATACATCTAGGCTAAACTCCAGCAGCGGCGCCAGAGACGGTCGCCGCAGTCACATATGCAGTACGTGGAGCTCCGTAACAGTTAGACATTAGAGTTAAATACAAGGCAAGATATTCAGCTCAAACAATAGATGTATATTCACGAGCCTGCCTATGCAAACACACCTCTGAATAAAAGTTCACACAGTTATGCCACAGACAGCGCTTGCACACAAGCAGAAAGTACACATTCAGATTCTGAGATCACAGTTACACACATCACTAATGAATCAACAGTACTCAGCACCATAGACCTCATGTCATATGAATGAGCATCACGGGGAGAGAACTATAAGGAGTCAGATCTTGTGCATTCACACTTTAACAAGTGAAAAAAACATAAATAAGCCACAGATATTTCTTGTGGGTGATATTATTATTCATTATTATTTATCATTCCCCATTATTATGGCTGTTGTCGTCATCATCATCTTCATCATCATCATCATCATCATTAGTCATTCCTACTAGTATAGTTGTTGCTATTGTTGTTGTTGTGCATCTTTGTCTGTGTCTCTGTCCTTCTCTCTTTACCACCTTTTTTCCTTGCCACTCTCACCAGGTGCTTGCTGATGGTGGAAACTGAGTCTCTTTAAATAATTTTAGAAGGAGTACGGTCTAAACCTGCTCCTTCAATTTAATTGAATTAAACTGTATTATGGCACTCCTAGGGGTAGCTACAGCACCCCCAAGCCCCTCCCTGTCACTGCCGCCTATACTAAACAATGACCTTGCTGCTGCCAAACATTGGTAAAGAGGAATGCACATAAAGACAGATTGTGAAAAGAGTGTGAAGAGACGGAGTGCAGTGTATGTGTAACTGCGTTAGTAAAAGAATGTGATTATTTTTAAGCGCCAAATGAAATATTTTAGGCTATGGCAATTATACCATCATGTTTTTTTCTTGTTGAGAGATCCATTAGGAAATGTAAGTTTATTCATCCAATGTATCTTATTTAGTTTTTATGTGGATTTACCCTGTATTTATTTAATCAGGTAAAAGTTTCATGTAGATTGATTTTTAACAAAGACCTGGCCAGAAGGGCAGAATAAAAACCATGTAATGTTCTGCTTCTTTAAGGTAATTACAGTTAACTAAAACTTGGTGTGAAAAACCATTTTAAAATAAAAATAAAAACTAGAAACTAGAAAAACACAAAAACTAAGTGAAACGATTTTGTGTACTTAAAAAACAAACTGATATAAGATCAAATATAATACACAGGAAATGTGTTTAGTTTTTGAGCACAGCACTCAGCTTTTACTGCAGCTAACTCTTTCCAACTCAACATTCAGGCAGGTCTCAAAATAGCACCTCTGTTATTAGTGTATTTCAGCAATCTGAAACAAGCTGACACAAGTTGTTGAGCAGCTTTTTACCGATCTCTGGCTGTGCACACACTGTATCTAGAACTCAAAAAGGTGAACTCTATTCATCAGTGCACTGCTTGATGACTTACTACTGCTTGATGACTGCTTGTATCTACTTAAACATTTGTCATGATCAGTTATTACATTTGATAAAGCACAATCCACGCCACTTGAAGGTCAGATCCCTCTCCTGTAACAGCAGGTTCCCTCCTGGCCTGCAGCATGTCCCTGTGTGTCAAGGTGAAGTTATGAGTGTAGCTTCAGGGTGGTTTACTCACCAAGGCCAGCGCTAACAGAAGCAGCAGCCCCACTTCTGCAAGGGAGAGCCGCGCCATGATCACGGGGGAGCTGCAGCATATACCAGCCTGTCCTGTCCCCAACTCAGGTGGTCCAGCCTTAAATAGGTCCTGTTAAAGACACACCTATATCAGCCTCTTCCCCCCTCCTCCCATCACACATACAACCACTCCTGGATATGCTGCCCCCACTCCCCATCGCCCTTCCCTGCTTTACGTATGCTGTCCTCAGCTGTCATATGTATGCATGTTTCTCTAAGGTGTGTCTGCTACACTAGGCCTTCAGGGTAGCACACCTCATCAGGCTGATAAGATCAGAAAGCACACTCTAAAAAAACTTTCTTAAACTCTTAAAGCATTGAGGACATGATTTACTACTGTTTTTCTGACAATATCTTTGTGCTTCTATAGAGAAAACTGTACTGCAGGAAGAATAGGTTCTACCATATTATAGCATATTAAAGGTCCAGTGTGTAACATTGAGGAGGATCTATTGTCAGAAATGGAATATAATATTCATAGGTATGTTTTCATTAGTGTATAATCACCTGAATATAGGAATCACTGTGTTTTTGTTACCTTAGAATGAGCTGTTTGTGGGTCGCCTTCCCTGGAGTCCGCCATGTTGAACTGCCATGTTTCTACAGTAGCCCAGAATGGACAAACTAAACACTGGCTCTGTATAGGGCCTTTTGTGAGTTAAGTGGCCACTGTAGTTTCTCCTACTCACAGCCCATTTTCATGCCCAAATCATCAAATACAGACGCGAGTGGTGTTCAGTTGGTTGCAATCTGCGACTTTGCTGCCAGACGGCACTAAATTCTACTCACTGGTCCTTCCAGTCAGTGTCTCCCAAACTGCGGGTTCGGGACCCTCACCAGGGCCAAAGCTTCACAGGGGGTTGTGAGAAAAACAAACAAAATTAAATTGTTATTTTTAAAGTTTGGATTTAAGATCTAAACTGTGCAAATAGAACAATGAGAAGAAAACAAAAATAAACCTAATCAGTATGTATGATTGTTAAAAATGATTACAAAAAATAAAAACACCGTACAGACTAAAAATATCAGGAAAACTCATCTCTGATCAATATTCACAAGGAATAATCTGCTCAAAACTCATTCAAATCCATTTTACACAAGCAAGCTGCAGTTATTGTGTTCACTGTTCGTTGTACAGTTTATCAGTTGTTCTCTACTTTTATTGTTATACATGAATATACTATGAAATATCCATAAAAGGCTGATTTCTTTCTGGCTCGCTTGGAGATCCAGTTGTGGCCCAGCTGGTGAAGATGCTAACATTTTTCTCAAGGTCCACTGCGCTTAATCCAATCCCTGCACTTTTTATGACGACATTTATCGATTACATTTAGAGCCCCCAAGTTTTCCTTGTACAGAAGTGTCACTCCAAATGCTTGTGAGATCTCACCATCCCTTTACTGTCTACCGCCATCACAGCTGTCTTCTATGTTTATGTTCCAGAGCAGAACTGTGACCAATATACATAGAGCAAGTCACACATGAGCAAAAAATCCGATTCAGGGGAATTCTACCTGCAGTGTGGACGTAGCCTAATACACAGGAAGTAGGCTACATCTGTTAAAAAAGTAACTTCTCAACAAACTGTTGGTTTTAACATTGTTGTATGAAAGGTTTTTTTTTTAAAAAGAGGTTATGACTTACAACACTTCAGATTTTTTTGTCTCTCTGTAAGTTATTACTGACAGCAACATCTGAACACCTGTTTTTTTATGACCAATACAGGACCGGTTCTTCTGAAAACTCTTTTAAACCATTTGCCAAAGAATCTGTATATTCTTGCGCCTGCAACATTCCTCAGTGTCTGCACATTTTTGACCGAACATACAGAGTTTTCAGAGAAAAGATGTTATTCCATTATGAAAAAAATCCAAATGTAGAACTGGGAATAAGCTAAATGCTAATACCTATGAGGGTTCAGCATTAATAGTTGCTTATTGTCTTAAAGCAGTGGAACATGAGACAGATAATCTGTAAAAAAAAAAATCAGGTTCCTCCTCCTAGTGCCCCTAAAGGCATTTGCAAAAATCCACCTGGCCTGAACGAAAACAACCAACCATTACCTACTTTAAATCTCTTTAAAATCCCATGCTAATACTTACATTTCCAAGGAAAGGAAACAAACATGTTTTGATGCATGTGCAGATAAAAAACCATCCTAACAACATATGAGCATAATGCTTCTACTCTGTGATTATTTGCTCTGACTGGCAGCTTCATTAGAAACCGACTTCAAGTGATACTTCGGAGAGTGAGTCAACACCACATCTCAGATCCTCGGACGGACTGACAAACAACAGGAGACGACAGTTTCCTGCTGTGATCATGTACAGGAGGCTTTGTGGATTGTGGGAGTGGTCCATGTTGATTTACATAGCAATTCAGACATTTGGCAGCTGATATTAAAACACTTTTCAAGCAATGTCATAATAAAGATATTTGTGATCTTTCTCAACAATACAAGCTATAGGTCTAACAGAAACTCCAAAAACAAACAAGTTAAGAAGAAAATAGGTATTTTCATGTCTTCAGTTTAACATGTTGGTTGAAATTAAAGCTGTTAAAGGGTGATGCACAGATGGATGTACTGTGTCGAGGTCTGACTGAGCTTATAGGATAACAATGCAATGTCACATCTATGTTATGCACACACCCTAACCCTAACCCTTTTTGCAGGATGTCCCCCATTTACAGTACTGTGTACGATAAGATTTTATTATGTTATATATTCTTATAAATTGTATTTTTAAATAATACACATAATAAACGATAATGATTAAATCTTAACATTTTTAGCATTTTCCCTCAACTTTTCTGACACCCAAAGGGGGCCCCAGTCCCCACTTTCATTACCAGTTAACCGCCGTCATCTTACTGTTTACAGTGTTTATACAGTAAAATAAACTCTAGGCTATGTACGTATATGTACAAGTATTACACTGTATATAATACATATTAAACTTATTTATTTTCTGTTACTGTTTCTTTATATGTACAACATATAAATAATGCAACGTTGTACATATAAAACTTAAAAGCTGGAGGCTAGATTTACAGAAAGATATCACGGAAGAGGAGTGGTCCAAGGTATGCCTGAGGGTTCAAACACAAACGTTCTAAATGCGGCCCAAACTTCTACAATATGAATTGATTTTAAGAACATACATTACACTATCAAAATCACTTTAATCTCAATATGCCAGACACATGCTTTAAACAGTGCTAAAGGAACACTCTATCATGCTTCTGGGAGTGTAATGTGGTCAAACCAGCCTGAAAACGCTCCAGTTATTTCAGAACGCTGCAGCACAAGTACTGACAGGAAGTAGGGAAAGAGATCTTGACCTGCTCTATTTGAAAAGTACCCTGAGATAACTTCTGTTATGAATTGGCGCTATACAACAACAGCTACGTGTCGGAAAAAACGCCAGGCGTACCATACGATGAGAAAATAATGGTTTTGCAGTAAATACTTTCTATACAAATACAAATAAAATTTAATTTAATTGAAATAACAAAACTGATAGTCCCTTGTTTGCTTAAGAAGAATGGCTGCGCATTAACAGATGTGTGTCTGTTGAAGCGCTTCTCACAGCTTTTCCGCAGCTGGGGATCGAACCGCTAACCTTCTGCTCCGCAGCAGAGACACTGGAAGAAAAACATCTTCTTCTTTGTAGGTAGTATAATTTTATAATATGAGACATTGTAGTACACACAGCGACAACTATGTTACAATTAAGTTTAAATAAGGAATAACGGGCGATGTTATGTTCAAATATAATCAAAATATGCGTAGCAAAATCCACAGGGAAGAGTATACTAGCAAGTTAAGTGACAATCACTTTGGCTACAAACAACATGCCATTCAGAGAGCACCGGGAAATATTAGGCTTAATGAGCAGTGGCCACATTTCCAGCGTCTTCTAGTGTATTCTAACCAATACACCATAGTGATTACAAACTCCACAACCAGTGACATTCATTAAGATACATGAAACACTACTACATTGTCCATTTATTGTAATTCCCCATGGGCTTCACCAATCATTGCACCTGCTGTACGCTAACCACAGGTATTTAATTTAGTGAAGGAAATGAATCATACATTCATCTTGTTGTTGCTAATTATGCTGGTACATAGACATTATTCTTTTCAGACTCTGCCTTTCGGGATGTGTATGACTCTAGAGAGGTCTGTGTGTGTGTGCATATGTGTGTGTATCTCTGACAGCTGAAACCATGGAGATTACTCATTGATTCATGAGCTGGTTAAAATGCATTGAAAGGAAGGATCTGATCTCCATCTGTCCATTCCGGCTTTGAGGAGCGCTGAGAATGTGAATCAAAATGACCCCGGTACTTCAGTGGCCCTTCAGTGGCCCTGTGTTTCAAACTAGGATGCTCCTGAAAAAATATGAATAACACTGTGATGGAACTGCATGGGCTGTTTTTCATTCTTTATAGCAGTTAAGATACACACATACCAAGTATGGACATGACACAGTCGGCTGTTTCCATACAGCATGTAAGGCATGTCTGTTAATATACCTTCTGCTATATTTGTCCTTTACTGGAATTAACTGGTGACGGTGGTGGTGAAGATCATGTATGTAGGTTAAGATGGGACAAGCAGGAAGTGGAAAAGACCAACTGAGGGGGTATCAAATCATTTTGGAACTTAGGGGCCTATCACATATCGCTACAGGCGTGAGCGCTTCAGAAACACCTTGGCAGAGAGCGTTGGGGTAAAAACGCCAGGTGTACCATACCATGGAAGAATAATGGTTTTGCAGTAAAGACTTTCTCTGTTCAAATTCTGATTGTTTTAAGGTTAATTTCCAGTTCAATGATAATTGTTTATATCTGCTCCCCTCTGTGTCTGTGTGAGCTAGCCTCTGCCTATATATTGTATTATAATATAACACCCCTATGCATTAAATATTGGTTTATTTACACTGAATAATGGACAGCAGCTTATGTGAGGGGTTTGTTTGATTTTCAGACAGCTTTCAGGCTGCTCTGACAAGTCAAAATGTCTGCTGGCAGAAAGGCCTGTATAGACATAAATATAGTTGGTTATTTCTGGTATTTATTTACA